TTTTTTTTTTTTTTTATTTTTTTTTTTTTTTATTTTTTTTTTTTTTTTTTTTTTTTTTTTTTTTTTGTTTTTATTTTTTTTTTTTTTTTTTTTTTTTTTAATTATAATTTTTTAAAAAAAAAAAAAAAAAAAAAAAAAAAAAAAAAAGCTCCATTGTATGAGGAAGTCAACAGATTGGTAAAGTATTGATTGGAAGTGGCGCTAAATTGCATTTGCACCGGCTTCATTACATTGCGGTGTAGAGATAGAGTGACTCACTGTCAGAACGGCTGTACAAGGTATACAGTGAGACTCTCATTGCGGCACAAGATCTAAAAGGTCAGAGGTTTAAGGCATTCAGACTTCTCTAACTATATATAATGTATCTCTGTGTTCCCCTGCCCTGAGACCCCTGACACTTATCAATAAGGCTTATATTGCTGCGCGAAGCTAGGAGTGAAGACGTCCATACCCATCTGACCATATGCATCAGTTGTCTTTCTCTATCTTGGTCCCGTAACTAAAACCATAGGGGCCGTGATTATTCTCTGTTCAAACAGATACAAGGGTGTTTTAAGATTCCATGACCTCTCTAACAAACTTGACAATCTGCTCTGCGAGTGCTTCTGGCTGACTGACAAATGGCATGTGTCCCGTATCAAAGTTTACAACATCCCACTCCACGCCGGACTTCTCAATCCATGAGTCCTAGGTATATAGCATAAAGGTTAGATGTTTTGGTCGTCATACAAAGAATTATTGCAACATAACAATCTAACGATCTGAAAAGGGAAACTATTACTCACCTGTAGAAAGGAGGGATTGCATTGGTCCTTAACGGTGCGGATATACAATCTCCTCCTGTTAAAGCCTTCATCTTGCCAAGCCGGCGCTGATGATTTTGTCTCAAATGCTTTGAGTGCGTGGGGTTTCATGAATCTATCAAGCTCTGGGTCTGGCTCGCAGTCGTTATATAAGACTTGCATGGCTGGCTCGATAAGGGCGAGGCCTTCCGAAGGCTTATTGGACTTGATGAAAGGTGGATATGCACCACCCACTGCCTCGAACAGTGTTTCGCCCTCTAATGTGCTACCAGGCTTGTTGTTAGTGCGTTTCTAATTACTTGAACAGCTCAATTTATTTTGAGGTGATACCCGAGAGGGAAAAAATAAAGCCAGACTCTTGCTCACATGTTTCCGGCGACGTAAATGAGTCCGAGGACTGCATTTTCGTAGCCTGCGGCCTTGCGACTGTCCTTATCGAGTCCTTTTGCAGCGCCACCAGCGACTACACCCCCATATGAGTGAGCGAGAACGACGAGATCTAGTCCTTGATCTAAGAGTGAAAGTAGAGTGTCCTTGAGGACCGCGATATCATTTGAGCAGTCCGCATTTAGTGGATCAGGTGGGTTGCAACTTGGGTATGATCTGGGGTGCGTCTTAATTGCTCCAAGGTACGAAGCCATTTTGTTAAAGCCTTCGGTTGTGCCAAAAGCACCAGGAACGAGAACAAGAAGAGGCGCCATTTCAGAAGCGATCAGGATCTTTGAAAAATGGGAGGATCTGGTGAGGTATGATGTTGGTTAATTGTGTGGGAAGCTTAGATGTCTTGAGGGTAGGTCCTCGGAGTAAAGCATCTGTCTTTGGTACAAGTCTACGATAAGCGTACATCACATTATATATGCCTAGAAATAAAATGAACAACTAGAGGAAATGAGTGAAGGATGATCCAAGTCTACCCTTCGGCCCCCACGGGAAGGAAAATAAGAGTAGCGTCAGATCTGCAGTTGGTAATCCATCAATAAAGCTGCAGCTGGCGGGTGTTTCCAACTGGAAGTCAGCTGCCGATACAGTTTATATACGGCCGCCTACCAAAACTACAGTATGCAAAATGACGCCGTTAGCTGCACCTACTGCTTGAAGCTATCACCAACCCTACCCAAGCACCTTCAATTTCAACACTTCTAACCACCAACAAGTATAGAGATGGCAAACTGGATAACTTAGCCCTCTTTGACCTTGTTCCTTCTGCAAACATCGAGAAACAAATGCGTACATTTTGATGAATAGCCGTCATATAGCGTACCATTCAAACTTTGGTGGCATACTGTGTGCGAATGATAGAAATCAAATGACAGCATTTAAGAACAGCTGCCTGTTACAGATTTAGAAGAAAGGTTACTACAGACCTAGCCTCGCTTGAAAAAAAGAAGACAGAGAGACAGGGAAGGAAAAGCTTTAGGTAGACGGACAAGTAATTGCTCTATTTACAACACTTTGACGAACATACTTGGATCCAAGTTAGATGTGCTCTCCGTCACCAGATTTCTTTTCGCCGCCTTGAATGGGTAGACTAGGCTTGCTGTTGCGCTGCTCGCGAATAACCCTCGTGTGCTTCCAGAGGATATCTTGTTCGTCTTCAGGAACCCATCGCTTGACTAAGACATAATCTGGATCCTGTTGCATGTTACAGTTAGTTAATACATTCAGTTCTCCCCAGGCGCACCTCTGAAACAAAGTGCTACTTACTTCGTCCAATACAAAGTCAACCTTGTGGACGCGCAGAGTCTCGAGTGAGAGATGTCGTCGGGCAAAACGTGTGTATGTGGGCCGTTGAATCTCTTCTTTGGTGATCTTATCTTTTGGCTTCAATTCCTGATTTTCCTGCCCCTCGAGAAGCGCATTTATCTGTTTTTCCTCAAGACCAGACTGTAATAATGTTTCCTGGAGGCGCTGCTTATACTCGCGCTCGTACTCCAGCCTCTCGGCTTCTTTTTTCTTGTATTCCTCAACGGCCTCTTCAGCCTCCTGCTCGCGGCGCCTCTTTTCAGCAAGCGCAGCTTCCTCCTTTTTTAAACGATCAAGTTCTATCTTCTGCTTAATACGACGCTCTAACTCTTCACGCTCAATTTTCTCACGGATTTGGTCCAGCTCTCTTTTAGCCTCACGCAGCTCGTGCTCTTCATTGGCGCTCCGTTCGCGGCGTTTCTTCTCTAGTTCGACTCTGGCGAGGAGTCTAAGTTCCTCGAGTTCATTACTAACACGAACAAGCTCGTAGTCGTCGGAGATGGTGGGGTCGGCTGTGAGCTTCGCAATGGCTCGCCGCTGCTTGATCTCGAGTTCATCGATCAATCCACGGTCCCGCATATTAGACCCTTCCGCTCGCGTGATGCCTACACTACTTATTAGCAAAAAAGTACTTCGACAGTGCGTGAAAGCGAAACTTGCCTTGGTCAATATCTTGAAAGCGAACGATATCAATATCTGGATAGTGAGTGGTGTCAATATCATGATCCTCAGTGATGATCTCTCGTTCGATGGTGACCGGTTTGGTTGTGGGCGACAGACGGTGTGGATTCCCCCGCGAATCTCGGTGTCTAACCTTAACCTCGATATCATCCATTTCGTCGGCAAACCGCACACTATCCTGCCTCTCCTCCACGCTGTCTTCCGATGGCCGGAGCTTGGAGGGAACGTTCTCTCCTTCATGTCCTTCTGGATAAAGTTCGGTAATAGTTTCTGTCTGTTCGGCTAATGCTACCCTTCCCATAGCGTCTTCTCTTGTGCTCTCATGCGAGACACGCTCTGAACTTCCATCAAATACCCAAGGGCCAGTATCGTTCCTAGGAGTAATAGGCTCTTCATGGGCATTTAATAAGCCACTTGGAGTAGGTGACGGCGTTCTACGTGGCGAGATGTCGTCACTCCTTGCTTCAGAATAGCTTCCGCTGTGGGTAGATATGGTTTCCTGGTCTGCATTTGCTTCATCGGGTTCCTCATCGTCATCTTCAACGTCTGGAAGGGCAAAAAGGGCCAAATCGACTTGATGACGACCTACGTGCCGCTGGTATTGCGCACTGGATTCCAGGGCAACTTGGCAAAAGGGACACTCGACAGGAGAAGATGGAGATATTGATAGAGTTCGACTGCATTTCGCAATCAGCGCATCGACTTCCATGTCCGTTTTTGACCCGTGGATTCTGCTAATGTGCTGGTGCAAGTTTAATTCCGTTGTGCTATCTAATCCACATTGATATGGACATGTCCAACTTTTCCAATGCTTCTGGAACATGTGGTACATCCATTCGTGGCGGCGACTGTATTCTCTACTAGCTGTTGTACAGTCTTCGGCCAGACAAATGTATGGCCGTAAGTCGCGGAGAACGTGTTTCCTATCTTTATAAGCATCTGTGAAACCTCACTAGCGAATTCAACGTAGCGCACTTACTTCCATTGATGTGTACTGCTAACTGATATCAACATGAAACAGAATCGACATTCAAATGGACCATCATAGGCTCTTCTTGGTAAAGGGGGTATTCTGAGTTGATTAGACTCTGGAGCAGTGGTAGCGAAAGAAGTTTGAGAGAAACCCGTATCGGAACGTTCATCCTCGTCTAGTTCTCCGAATGATGGTAAAGCTCCATGAACTCTCATTGCTATGGGAATAGATGATGCAATCGTGCTCTGTGCACCAGCTTCGGACCGCCCGGAATCGAACAAGCCGCGAGCCAGTTTCTCATGATGGGATTTCCGGTACCTGAAATACTGTCGCCTCATGGATAGTGCTTGGCCCAACCTTTTAACCAGAGTTTGACTTAGGCTTGGAAACTTAGCTTCCACATGAGCTTTATCATTTGCTTCAAAGTAGTGCACCTTTGCGTACTCATTCGACATGAAGCGGTCGTGTGGCGCAGGGTTTCGAAGCGATATTGAAAGTCTTAGCAAACTACCAACGGTGTCAGTAATTTCCCTCGTCAACTGGCTTAATTCTGAATTGAATTCGAAATCTTCGTTGGCAAGGAGATCCTTGAGTTCATCGTCGAGTTCACTAGCTTCCCCATGGTCCTGGTCCCACGGAAGTGTTTCTCCGGATAGTATTGAATGCACTAGACCTTGTCAGAGATTGGTTTACACTTCGCAAGTGGTTTGTATCCTACTTTCATGCAGTGAGGTGATTAAATCGGCAAGCAACCTCATCACTTGTGCATGGAGGTGAGACGAGTCTCGGAGGCGATAATCTAAAGAACTGCGTCCAGTTCGATGCGCTGCTATATTGCCGGCCCATAGCTTGAACTTTGACAGTTGGTCCCCTATCATTTGCACCCCAGAGACTTCTGAATCGCCAAGCTCTGCTTGGATCTCAACCGTATTGATTGCTTCAAATGCGGCCAGACTCTGGGCTACGCGATCTGCGATTGACTCTGTGGGGTTCTCGGCGGCCATTTCCACATCTGAAGCAAGAATTGTGTGATTCGAAAGGCCCTTCTTGAATCTTTTGTTGTCTCAATGAGAGGCTTCAAATGAGGTATCTATCAGGCTTTGATGTGATCTGACTCAGCAGTGTTGCTAAGTAATTTACAAGTGAGCCTCACCCCTCATTCAGTTATATCATGATGCCAGGATAGTAGGGTTACATCGCATGACTCCTCTAAGCTTACTTATGCTGACACCACTGTAATCAGTTTTCAGCCGCAAAACCCCTCTTGCAAGGAACCTTCTTTTCATCTGCGACTACTCCGCCATCGATTCATGGCGTCGGAGTCTAGAGTTCCTTTTTTCTAGGATTTTCTTGCACAGACTGTACAATAGTCGTGCGTTAAAGCCGTCAGAATGTCAGGCTTCGAAGTTGTCGGTATTGTCCTCGGCGCTATCCCCCTTCTGATATCCGCTCTCGAGCATTATGAGAGTGGAATTAAGACGATACAGATAGTTCGGCGTCGTGCAAAAGTGATGCATTCTCTGGCCACGGCCCTTAGTACTGAGCAGACCATACTTAGGAACACCTGCGAGACCTTGCTGGGGGGGATCATAGACCCCAAAGACATGCAGCCTCTACTTGCGGAACCTTTCGGGCCGCTATGGCAGGACCCCGATACCAAGGCCGTCGTCGAGCGAAGGCTTGACCACACGCTGAAGGATTTTAAGGCTCTGGTACATTCCATGAAGGAAGCGGTGGAAGAGATACAGTCGAAGCTAGGTCTTGGGCCGGATTTTGAGGTCAGTCTCATGCTAAAATCAGAAAGCTTTAGGCCGTGGATCATGGACTAGACGGTAGTAGGATCTCAAGTGTCATATGACTAAACGGATAGAACGATTTTCCCGATTTCAGCGCTAACAAGCTAAGACAGATGAAAATCGACAATAGGCCGGTTGCCAAGCGGGAAATGGTCAAGATCGCTTTACAATTTTCCACTCACGAAGACGCCTTGAAGAAGCTAGCGGATACCAATCAGAAACTTGATCTGATGATAACTGGTAACCTGCGAAATGAGCCTTATCGGAAGGTTCATTCACAAGAGAAGCTATTCAGCTTGCTAGAAGCAGTATCAAGAAGCATATATAATGCTCTAAGATCCAGCCTATCTTGTACATGCGCCCGATCGCATGGCGTAGGTTTCAGTCTCCCTGCGGCAAGAGTCACAAGGCGGGTCCAAGACGAAGAGGCGCTGATTAAGCGACTAGATTTCCATCTTGTCTTAGCCAACAAGCCGCAGGATACCAAAGGAAAAGCACACAGCAGCTGGGTATGGGATGAACTTGTCCTCCGATTAGCAGAGATCCCAATGAAAGTGCGTGCAGCAGCTTTGCTTCCCGTGGCTACCGATGTGGTAGTAAAGAAGTCTAAATTTGTTCGCGTGAAATTCTTGGATCACGACACAACTACACCTATAGTACGAGCACCTTCACCGCTAGACAGCGCTGGATCGACGGTTGCCCCAGGCCTTGATGCATCGCATCAAGTCATTACCAACCCCATGGGATATGCTTCTCAGCTTCCACGAGAGACTCGGCAACTTGTACAGGTGAAAGACATTTGTCGCACATTAAGCGGCAAGCCGCCAGAGATCCAATATCAGGACCCCTACGGATATCTGCTTGATGAGACCACTTCACAAAAACAGAGATTTGAAGTATTTCCCTTTAGATCTTATGATAACGACGAGTGCGCGACGGTCCACCTAAGGGACGTTTTCTCCCAGACGCGTCGACCTTCACTCGCTCGAAAGTACCACATTGCCGCCACGGCGGCTTCTAGTGTTTTATTTATGCACAAGACGCTATGGATGCCCGCTACGCTTACTATAAATAACGTGTTCCTAATCTCGCGTTATGGGAACGTGGATTTCGATGAGATTTACTTGATAAAGCAGTCGCTTCATGATTTAGACGGTTCGACAACAGCGTCCAACTATGACTCTTTAAGCGAAGCCGCAGGGGTATCGACACTATACTACCTAGGAATCTTCCTTATAGAGGTTATGCTATGGAAGCCAATATACGATTTTTGGAGCGAGGAAGGTGTCGACTTAAGCGGTGTTCCGCTAGAAGACATATTCGACTATACGACAGCTAAAGGCTTTGCTAGGATTCAAGGGATATTAAATCAAATCGAGTGGATCGGCTCCCCTGAATTCAAGAAGGTCGTGGAGCACTGTATCAAATGCGATCTGGACGCCAACAGTTTATCTTTGGATAACGTTGCCTTCCGCCAAGCCATTTACAGCGACATTGTGTTACCATTGCAAGACGCCGACCGACTAGCGGGTGGAAAGATGACAGCAGGTAAAGGCAAACCTCTCACACCAATGAAAGTAGCGTAATGGAAAGAAGAATTGCTCTATAGTTTCAAAAACTGTCGTCGGTTGTTGTAATATGCTTTTAGGAGCGCAACACAAAAATGATTTGGTAGGCTCAGCGTTTAGGGAATCGGAAGGGGGGTATGGACGAAACAGAGACTGTATTGACTGGAGCAGGACGAGCGGGGTGTACCGAGGTCCGACCTGTTTTACCTCTGCTGTTATAACTGTCCCATTAGGCCTCAGCACCAAGATATACTTGGGATATAGATGCAAGTGTGAAACCTTGCTATGTTAGCAGTAGTGTTGGCTGGTGAGAATTACGGCGGCAGGAGGGTAGTCGGGGTTAGGACGCTAAAGCTGCCCTGTATTTCTGGCATCTGCCGCACCCAAAATGTCCTCAGATACCTAGGGTTGTAGCAGTCAGAAATAAGCGAGCGAGTCAATTGAAGGTGTATCGAGCTTGGCGAGTCTTGGCGTGGTAGCTGGTATATTAATGAGCGTATATGAGACTAAACTTGTCGAGCATCATTGTCTAGAAAATAAGTAATAATTGAAACTATTTAGGTTTCGATATCACTTCAGCAAAAGTAAACATTCTGGGGGTGAGTATTGACATCATCTACTTATGTGTCATTACACCCCCTACTTTCTTTGAGATACATATCTCCGTCTATGAGAAGGATGTTGTCGCGTGTTCTAGGTATAATCATCGCAAGAAAGTGGGTGCAAGCTAATCACCTAATCATGGACACTTATGCCACTAGAAATAGATGGATCATTGTCAAGAACAATCTTACAGACCATACCACTGACGGATACATCTGCTTTGGTAGATTCTTGCGAGTATTGCACACCCAATACTGATACTATTAAACATAGACGAGTAATAATTGTCAACGATCGGTGTTTTCCGGCAGCATACAGGCTGGGAGCAACAATAGTTGAGGCACAAGGTGTCTGTATGAGCTTGGGGAAAACAGTGCTCTGCAGGCTTTAACCCTATCGTTCAATTCTCTATCTTGCGTGGTTGACTCATTTCGCTAATGCGCCTACGAAGCACCGAATTTTCAAAAGTTACAGTATGATGTTTGATTAATTTGCATCCTACACCATTCCGATTCCATCCTTCTTCTCCGTTATTGTTACCGTTGAAGTTGAATGCGGGGTTTGCAGCTCAGCCGACCTTCGACAGAGATACTGCAACATAACAACCAAACTGGGATGAATATTTATTACTAGAGATCAGTGTTCAGCTGCTAACTCAAACCTGGTTCGTCACGATTTAGGCTTCCATGAGCATTGATCGATATTATCAACGTAAAAATGATGCTATGAAGAATCGTAATGGGTAATTGTCGTTGCACTTGCTCTTAGGTTTGTTTATTAGCGACTCGTATTGATTAGAGCAACGATTCAATAGCGATGCCAAATCATGTCTCTTGATGGAACCGAGATGGTTACGGTATCTCAAATTCTATTAACCAAGACCTATGATTCCACATTTCGGGATAGACATGGGAGTCAGGGTTGACCAAGTGGGTTATGATAGACAAACATGATAGCTGAAAAGTTCATAATGGCATAAAGTCCTGCCTGACGAGAGCTGAACGTAATGCTTTTGGTGATCGTTCCATCTTGAGACTATGTAGATTCGAAACTATCATGAGTGAATGGGTGTGCGACACTCCAAGAAGCCATGGTCGAGTACATATAAATGATGACGAAGATGGAGGGTTTTCATCGTCGTTTGTGCAACTCAGTAACAAAGAAGACATCTATTTATTCACCAGCCGATACTTGCTACGTATAATTTCTCATCAAAATGAATCCAGACTTTGAGTTGACATTCGACATCGATGATGGTGAAGCCGAGTATAACAGACTCATAGTAGAAATACGTGACCGTCTTTCTGAGGGTAGGCGGAGTGCCTGTCAATCAGTCCGCTACCTCCGCCCGCAACAAGACCCTCCTGCTAATTGGTTCGACGTCGTATTGACCGCGGGTCAACAGACAATAAGAGTGAGATTCAGGAGTGACAACCTCTACTTGGATGCTTACCAGCAGGGAAACACTCCCACCAGTCAGTGGTTCGAGTTCAGCGATGCGCCACGGATTACTCCTGGTGCTACTCGTTTGACCTATCAAGGTGGCTACCCTCAACTTGAGCCTGTGGCCGAGACGGGTTCTTCTGGCAGAGCAACGATGGCTCTTGGTCGCGCTCAGCTCGAAAATGCTATCCAAGTACTTGGAAGAGGGCCAGCACAAGAATCGCAACGAGCACGACAACTCCTTGTTCTTATACAAATGATAAGCGAAGCGGTTAGGTTTACATGGATTTCTGACGAGTTTGTCAACAATTGGTGGGGTACAGTACAGCCTGAAGGTAGAATGATGGGACTTCAGAATGCCTGGCGAATACTCTCAGGTGGGGTATTGCATGCCAATGAGGGTGATGCTGATACCCCCCTCCGGATGCGGGAAAACGCTGACAACACTCTGAATATAAATACACCTCGTGCAGCCGCTGCTGTCCTCGGCATCATGGTATGCCGCGCTCTTCCGGGCCCTAACCGTCCTGGTCGCTCTACGATGACCACAATGGGACAAAACCCATTCGACTATCCCAAGGGCCGAGAACTAGTCGAGGTCTTCTGGCTTTGCATTAATGATATAGATGGTGAAGATGACGGCAGTCTTTACGGTACCGTCATTGCAGTTGATGCCTTAGGCAGCCAGTACGTCTATAACCGCGACAGAAGCAAGCCTGAATCCATCGCTCCAGGCCAACACGCTTTACTCACGGGCCCACCCCAAAGCATCGAAGCTGCGGATAGCTTCGCCTTCGTCGTGGACCTAATGGACTATGACTACCTTTCACCAGACGATAGCATCGCCAAGGGAACAATCAACTGGAACCCCTACAACATTGCAAATCAATACGACAAGGCCCTAACGGATAGTATCAAGGGAGACAACGGCTTGGTAACGCTTCACTACGTCGTTCTGAGCAACGCATCGCAGGCCCTCATTGAAATCATTCTGATCAACGGGGATGGGGAGAGCACCGCTAGTGTCTACGGTACCATCACAGCCTATAACGAGCATGGAGATAGCCAACTTTTCCTGAAGCCAGATAATGACTCTTACGTTAACGTGAGTCCCAATACGCCTATTCCGCTGTTGAGATCAGTCGTTGCTGTGCCCATGACCGGTGCACTTACAATCGATGCCCTCCTGTACGATTATGACGAGTTTTCTCCCGATGACGAGATTGCGAAGGGGAAAGCTGTGTTCAGGCCAGATATTGGGAAGTCTGAAGCTCAGTCGATCAAAGGAGCATATGGAGAGATCAGTGTGAGGGTCACATGGAGTTAAATAGCCATGGTGGCAACCTACCAGAGAATTTCGTTATTGACTATTTCCTATATTGTCTACCAACCTTAAGGCCTGGTTATTCTTTCCGCTTATTTACCTTACCTCGTCGCCGTTTAATAAGTAATTTCAATCTCTGATTTCTAAACATTTGATAATGTCCAAGCGAAGCAACCTTGGCATGCAATACGCTTAAAAAACATCTAGAATGCCTGTACTCTCTGGAATGAGAAATGGTAACAAACAGTGAAATCAAGCCTGACAAGGAGTCAACTAGCCATGTGTTACACGTGTAACCTCTGTGCCGGCTGAAATATGCAGTTCGCCTTGCACTTCGGTCGTACGAAGGACCATTGCAGGCTGTTCATGATCTCTCAAGGCATGCAGGCAATATTGGGCAATATTGGAAAGTGAGGTTATACAGACTTCGCTTCTTGAAACAGACCCTAGAGACCCAGACGGCCTGGGCTGGCAGACCATTTGTATATAGAGTCAAGTCAAGCCACCAACAGCCGAGAAGGAGTTGGTTGTTCAAGGACTACTGCAGCCCTAGTAGATCATTGTCATCTGAATTCCCAGTTCCAAGCCCAGTTCCCCTGTCCTTGTTATACCATGGTGGAAGGAGCTGATGGTAGAGATGGCTCATACAGCAGCAGCGGATGAAAATGTCGACCCTATAGTATTATGAACCAAATCACGTGATACCATTAACATGATTGCAATTGGGCAAATTCAGGCTGACGTGAGGGGTTGCAGAAGTTCTTTTTCTTAGACTATTCAAATATTAGTGCATTGGGCCGTCTTTTATCCAAACACCAAACATAAAGACAGCCAGCAGAGTTTCATTCAATGCGGTTAATTGACGTGAACACGCTCAAACTACATGAGTTTTTCGGGGATCAGATACCACCCTACGCAATCCTTTCTCATACCTGGGAAGCAGAAGAGGTCACATACGAAGAGTGGCTGTACGCAGGTCGCCAATACCCCCGGAGGTGGGGTTGGGTATATGACAAGAAAGAAGTGAGAGATATTAAGGCAAAATCTGGATATGATAAGATCGTACAGGCCTGTGCTAAGGCCCAAGGCGATAGACTATCATGGCTCTGGGTGGACACTAATTGTATCGACAAAAATAGCTCGGCAGAGTTAAGCGAGGCGATAAATTCCATGTTTCAATGGTATCGTAAATCAGCCGTCTGCTACGCCTTCTTGGTAGATGTGCACAACCCTGATGTTCGAGCATGCTTTAGAAACGACAGCGAGTTTCGGAAAAGTCGATGGTTTACAAGGGGTTGGACTTTGCAAGAGCTTATTGCTCCTTGTGGTGTCTGCTTCTACTCTTCGTCTTGGATGCCAATCAGTACAAAAACGAACATTGCGCTCTTAATCGAGGAGATCTGCTCAATACCAATTGTTGTTCTTTGCAAACCAGATGCACATACATCTTATCGAGCTGCGCAGAAAATGTCTTGGGCATCAGGGCGGAATACAACGCGGCAAGAAGACATCGCATATTGCCTGATGGATCTGTTCGATGTAAACATGCCTCTTCTGTATGGAGAAGGTGAAAAGGCCTTTCTGCGATTGCAGATTGAGATCACACGTCAACAACCGGATGTGAGGCTCTTGGCATGGCAGCAATTGCGTTCTGAACCTCGAAATATCTTTCACGTCCTCAGCTCTACCCACAAGTCTTTGCGAGCATTTGCCCCTAGCCCGAAGCACTTCTTTTTCGCTGACGGTCTCCAAATCCGCGCACAATCCATACCCACCTCCTTGCGAGTCGATGGCTTGGAGGTTGTTGTCCGGCTGCCACTAGTAAAGACACTATCATCGAATTTTGTTTTCGCTATATTGCCTTATGTACAAACGTCAGATAATCGGATGGTATGGATTCCTCTTATACATATCAGAGGACAGAGATACGTGAGAGTGGAGTTCCCTACCGTGACATTCTTTGCACCCGACATTCAATATGAACCACCTGTTGAGATCATTCTTCCTACTCATGAGGGACACTTAAATAGTATTTATGAACGTTCAGTGAGCATAAGAAATCTGGGCTTAGGATATTCGAGCACAAACGATGTCCTTCCAGCCCTTCTACTACATTTCCGACAGGCATCAGTTCCAAATGGCGTGTTGTGTACAAATTTCCTGAATATATAGACCGGAGCGACAACGGTCTTGGAGTCACGGCTGGCTCCATCCTTCACTGTCTTCATATCGACAACGATGACCGACAATTAGCCTTCGGAGGGCTCCGACTCGCTGGCGATGATACGGAAGTAGAACTACTGTTCATGGCCAAGCTAAAGGGGCCCGATGGCCCTTCAATAGCTCAATGGACCTGTAGGGACATTACTGATTGGCCCGTGTCTATCAATGACTACTATAACTCAATAAGCCATCGACACTATGATGGAGGCCATAGATTTGCTCAGGATCTCCATGGCGACAGGTATCGCGATATCGCTCAGCGTCTATATAGTCAGAGGAAGGCATATGAAAAGTTCTGGGACCTCGTGGAGGAAATAAAATGTGGAAAAGAAGACAAATTTGGCGGCTACGTGGTCATGGATGACCGAGTTTATGACCCAACCAACTCCAAGTTTCTCTCACCTACACCTACCTTGCGTTCGCCTAACGGTACGCCACCCGGGCCATGGGTCACAGTGCAGATAGTCCTTCCCAGGCCCAAAAAGAATTGAGTGCTCATAGTATTTGATTAGATTTCATAACTGCTAGTTATTCTAATCTAGTTAGTAACTTTCTACACCATTTATCACAATTCTTGGGGTTATACGAAGCGAATACCATTGTTAAGAGCCCAGGCTACTTATGACGAGGCTGGCGACGACGGCGTTAGTGCGGTCATGGGGAAGGGAGAGGTGGGGGACTTGACTTCGGGTTCGATCCAGCTGATGATCAAGCAAGACGCAATCTATCTAAATAGCTTTTCTATTATCTCTATCTAGCGGCTTAATGGACAAGCATAGACTACATAATGCAGTTAGTAGCGAACAGTGAAACTCAACGTACTTGTTCTGTGGAACGACAATCTGACATTTCTCCATGCGGAAAAGATTTACTGTTTTATACAATTGCCGACAGGTTCCCCACGCATACTAAAATTTAACTTCCTAGCTAGTCTATTCCCTATGGAGCGGATCAAAGCCCGTCTAGGGTACGCGTTAATGTTAACACTCAGTCCCTGGCGTCATCACACCACCAGCGTATCAGTGGCGGAGATACATGTAAACAGGAACAAGTCAATTTTGAATTTGGAACTCCATCTAACTATATGTATGTAAAACTTGATGGGGTACCCTGACTATTCAACTCGGGGCATCCCGGCTCTACCCCTCACGAGCATGGAGTCGGAGTGGGTTATCTTGGGGAAGAAGCCCACACAAATCATTGGAAGTGGAGTTGTGATTTCCAAACAACGTTACCATTATGTGGGGGACATTGGCACGATGGTCTTCCAGCGAGAAATGATCAGTTATTATGTGGGGGACAACGTCTGACCAGTGTTTACCCCAGCTTTGCCCAGCCACCTCCGGTAATGGGATGGGATGGGAGTGGAGCGTGGGGGAACAAATATAGGTTCTCCGGAGTAGGGACTGTGGAGAGTCTGAACTTCTATAATCTTCGACATTTTCCACTTTCCTGTTCCTCTTCGTTTATACTTCAAAATATCATTAACCTAAAAAGTCCACTTGATCTGGTTGTTCTCCCGGTTGCTGACACGGTTTCACGTTCATCTAAATCGAAATCAGATCAATATGGAGGACGACTTGAAGCCCGGCAGCCTCTACGAGAATGTTGAGCACGGAGGCTCCAATGATGGCGGATTGGTTATGCCGACCAGCCTTGCTGCGCTGACCGAGGCTGAATACAGCAAGCTTAGTAAAAAAGCTACGTTGAAGATGGATTTTGTGATCATGCCAATTCTGGTTATCATGTATATCCTCAACTATCTCGACCGTCAAAACCTAGCCAGCGCAAGACTTGCTGGCATAGAAGAAGAACTTGGCATTAGCGATGTCCAGTACCAAACCTGTGTGAGGTGAGTTATTTCCAGTCGGACATAGTGCAATACGCGATAGCCCGAAAATCTATGAGTGCGGGTAGTTAACCGTCGCACAATTTAGCATTCTATTCGTTGGGTACATTCTACTTCAAGTCCCTTCAAATTTAGTGCTGGGCAGGATCAAGTGGCCCGGTGTCTATATCTGCGCTGGCATGGCGGTTTGGGGCGCCATATCTGCAGCCATGTCAACAGTACAAGGTTTTGGTGGCCTCTTAGCTGCAAGAATCTTCCTTGGTGTTGTCGAAGCTATCTTCTTCCCTGGAGCCCTTTATTTTTTGTCGCTCTTCTACAACCGGAAACAGTATGCGTTACGCGTGGCCATTCTTTACGGCGGTTCACAGCTTGGCAATGCATTCGGCACTCTGTTCGCCATTGGCGTGTTGCGTCTAGGTGGGACATATGGCTTATCTGGATGGCGCTGGGTGAGTAAACCTTTCTATTTGACATATAATCTCCATCATTATCGTGTCAAGACTAACATGTTATTTTAGCTCTTCTTGATTGAGGGAGTGCTTACCACTGGCCTCGCGATCGGGTTCTCCTTTATCCTGCCCAACTCGAACAAGAAGATTCTTGGCTTATCCGAAATTGAATGTGAATGGGTAGAATGGAACATGGTCAAGGACCAAGGCCAGACCAATAATTCAGAGGAAATCAGTAACTGGCAAGGCTTCATGCTTGCCGCTACTGATCTCAAGACTTGGCTTCTAACCGGCACTCTATACTCGATTTACATCAATGGTGCAATCACCAACTTCTTCCCATCTGTTGTCCAGGGTCTCGGCTATGACCGGAACACTACCTACGGCATCACAGCTCCGCCATTTGTTCTAGCAGTCATCGTCATGTACATCATCGGTTGGAGCTCTGATCGCAAGCAGGAACGCTGGCTTCACATTGTTGCGCCACTAATCGTCACTGCAATCGCCAATATCATCTCCATCTCTACCACCAACACTGCGGCTCGCTACGTGGCCATTCTTCTTCTCCCAGGATCTTTCTATAGTTCGGGTATTGTCACGCTGTCGTGGGTTAGTAACAGTCTGTCTCAGCCTGCTCCGAAGCGCGCAGCAGCCATCGCTTTGGTCAATGCCATTTGCAACACGCCTAACATTTGGGGATCATACATCTACATTGGCGCTCCTCGCTACATAGTGGCGTTCATTGTTAATCTTGTAGCCGTAGGCCTCGCTATTGGATTTGCTACTGCAACAAGATTACATCTGAGAAGGCTAAACGCAAAGCTCGATCGTGGCGAGGATTCTGGAAAGCATGGTCCCACTGCGGCCCAGGTTGCTAATGGTTTCCGATATATACTGTGAGGTTACATACCATGGGTTTACCAACTTTATTGTCCAAACCAGGGGTTAGATGTTAGATACTTGCCATCCAGACTGTACATATGACGAATATTTTCCTAGACAGGTCTATTAGAGTTTCAGCATCTAGATCATGCAAATACTTACACTTCTTTTTTGATGGTCCACGTATTCTGCAAATAGTTTCGACGATTTCCCTGTCATCAACCCTTATTATGATAAGCGTGAACCCGTGCGTTGTATGCAATATGTTTACGGGCCCGGCAAGCACTTGGAATAGTCATCTACTGTGGATCTCTTGTTACAGGTAGTTATGAACACGCCTAACTTGATTTACTTCTAAGATATACTAAATGTCTCGCTCTCGGCACGCTACTCCCTTCCAACATAACACTCGGCAAATTTGATTTAGACTTCTGCGTTACATAGTCCACCTCGAAAAGCGAGGCGATGTGTTCCAAAGCACGTGACACGGTCCTTAAGGTTCTGGGCTCGGTCCTCCGGCAACGGCCACGAGATGAGTCACATCTGCATGAGAGGCCCGAGAGCAGCATCCAAAACCTTGCGGAGAAAAAGAAGGGTTCAAACAATATGTTCAGATACCAAATAACGGACACGGATAAATATCGCAGCGAAGCAAGCTAGCTAGCTAGCTCAGTGGAAGAGCGCCGGGCTCATAACCCGGAGGTCGATTGATCGAAACAATCGCTAGCTATATCTTTTGAAGATATTTTTGGCCCCCACTTGCTGGATCAGCTCCATTACTATAGTTAGCGCTACCCAACCTGACGGTATTTGGTATGCCTCTCTCTACTATATAACCAGATGTGCCACCCCAATCTATGGTATCACCAAGCTTTCGAGACCTAGGCGATCTAAACTAGCAGCAACAAGGCCAGGCAGGCTGTCGCTGGTCGTCCAATTCAATCTTCCGCTTAGTGGCAGACCTGCGATCTATATGTCCGATCACACCCACATGTGACAGAACATGACAGCAATAACGTAGCGTGAAGAGACTAAACAGTCAGTTAAACAAGATTACTAGAAGTGCACTGGGAAGCATTGTATCAGATAAAGTTGTACTAAAAAGTAATGCTCGCTATCCAACGTGACTATATATATCCTTATGAAAGACCAAACCACGCAGCTATGCTAGTTGAGAACTGTGTCTCTATCCATGACTTCACAGCCCCCAGAGATGTAAGCAATGTATACATGGACATTAGGCTTTCCGTCGATCCAAGACTCACCGGACCGTGCAGCATGATAGAGCTGCCCAAGTCGCACGCGAAATACATATGCCAGTGGTGACCAACAACCTGGATGAGGGGCAACGACACCAACCGTTGCGGCGCTGCAGTAGTAGACCAGTCCAGCTGACTACGAAGGTAGGACATCCGCTTATGCCACGCAGCAGTCCATAAGCCAAGCTGTATCAAGGGGTCTTGAGACGAAAATTGCGGTTTGGTCTCAATAGAGACAGCAATGGGCGAATACGTCACGGGCAAATACGTAGTCTGGTTAATATGTGGTGCGGACTCCCCATCCCGGATCGCGACATCATTCACAAGGCTACGGATAAGCTTAGACAGGGTTGAGTCATCGGGCAGGCGAAGAACCAAGGCGTAGTCAACTTTCTTACTGCTGCTACTACTGTGAACCTGGGTTACTTCGATACTGTCATCGACCGAACTGTCGCCTACGCTGCTCGCCGACACAGAGCAGGCAAGACCTGCGCCGGAGAATAGAGGAATTGAATCCCCCGCAATCGTCGCAGTCATCATTGGCTCATAGGCAACGATGGCATGGGCATGTTGGGTATCCTCCCTATCTGTCTCATTGTCTGACCGGAAGACAAGCTCGAGTAGTGGTGTGTGCACCATGTTATTCCATGCCTGTTCGTGGCGCTGGTACTGTGCTGAACTCAGGGCCGCTCTTCGGATGCGACACAAGGCAACATGTATTTCTTTGGCTCTGGAAGACACATTGGGAACTGGCTCGGGGACGCGAAAGCAATGAGACGGGGGTAGTCTGCCTAACCACTCTATCGGATTTGGCACGTCATTAGGAAGGATGCCCTGTTTGAACTCAACCGCATTTTGGATGTCGGAATGCAAGGTCTCGACATCAGACGGTAATGCGCATGTGGTATCGACAATGACGGGTTTTTCGAGGAGATGCAGGCCTGTCCTTGACTTCGTGGGGCTGCGCGATCGCGTTCGCGGACGTCTGGGTACGGGAATGAGAATCTTGCGTGCCTTGGGTGTTTTCTCAACGTCTGATGCGATGGCTGGATAGAGACATCAGATTGGTATGTACGATAGTACGCTGGGGCAGCCATACCTTCGGAACGGCTGTCTACGCAATTTGAGTCGTCTGCGGTCCTTTTGCTATGAAGTGCTACTTGAGGCATGTGTTCAGCCTCGGTCAATGGGGGGGTCCCAAGCGCTGGGTTGCTGGGTTGAGAAGTAGGCAGAGGGTCGGAAGGGATGTCGGATTCAAGAGAGTTACGGTGGCATAGACGTTTGCTAGGACGTTCTGCTTCAATATCGCTGTCTTGTATAGATCGTAGCCAGCTTTGGATCCTGATGCTGTGAATCATGTTGATGCTGATGATGATGATGGGGACAACTAGAGAACAAGTACACGGACGCTATCACAAGTGACATGGGTCTTGGCTAAAATAGTGTAAAAGGAACAACGGCATATAAGCATAACTACTTAAACAGTGTAGGTAATTGCGGATTGTGGCCCACCCAACTCGCCAACGTACCTTTACTATGTATCACGGTATGTTGGCACATAGGGTGTACCTATATGACATACTATTTTAACTGTAATCCTTCATTTTCGGTAGCACTGAGATACACGATGGATAGGATGGCACCAATTTAGTTCGTTCGTTTAGGGCCTTTTGACGGGTAGCCGTAAAGTCTCGGAATTGTTGGGACTTTGCTTGCTCTGATCTAAATCACGCGCTCGGCGAGTTGTGATGCACGATAGAATACGTGCTTGGAAAGATTTCAGCCGCATAAGATGAAGAATGATTAGAATTGGCGAATGGGCGATGAGCGTCTCGATTTTTCTGCCTGACATTACACACTGCGTTGATCTCAGCGCAATTTTCCTCGGTTAATTGCAGTGAGCCCCTGCGATCTATGACGCAAAACATCGTCTATGAAGTCGTACTTAAAGCCAGTCGATCCTGGGATGAGCACCCGAAGGCTCGGTACGTCTCATCTCTAACTGCCTAGCCTTATCTAGTGATATACGTAGGAGTGCTGAATCAAGTGCGCCCTGAACTGTCCGATATTATACACTAGATAACATAGCTTTGAAGGGGACGTTCCTGCACCTGGTTGCTGGCACTTCCCCTTATTATTCGCAATAGGGGCAATTGACCTCCACGTACGACCATAGCCTCCGGAGAATTCGGGATCCCGTCCGCTCTCCCATAGACAAACCAGAGAGCGCCAAATCAGTAGTCGGGTCGGTGACGACCGGCGAATCCTTGGTGTTGTACGTATCATTTTGCTAATATTTTCTTTTTTTATCAGTAACTAAAGGTCTATATAACTCAGCGTATAATTACCATACTCGTTTTAATATGTAAAGGGGTAGAGACATGCTAGAGTATTAAAGTATGGGTCAGTGATGTGCAAGTCCGCAGCACGATCGTGGTTGAGTATAATCCTAGAAAAAAAAAAGGAATGGTGTCTCAGGCCAGTGATGCATATCTAGACTCTCGCCATATTACGAAGCAGGTATCCAGATGCTCAATGTTATTCGGTATGGCTCGGTACAATTTCGTCACTTTCTTGTCTTTTGACAATTGTGGCCCGCGCAGCCAATCACCGGCTAGTTGTGCTGTATTCAAATGATCAGCATACTTCAGTATCTGGCGTTATCTGCAACGTACCTGGTAAGCGATGACTTTCGGCCGAGGGAGCGAAGCTTCCCGATTGTCGGGCTGCGTACGAAGTTGCTATAAACGAAACCCCTCACAGACTCGATCGAGTCCAACACCCCCTTTCACGCTATTTTGATCTAAAACGATGGAATCGGACGATTTGCTGCAGTGCCTACGCCAATGGTTAGTGCTATCTGGCTGACGATGTTGTGATGATTGTCGCTTGATGTGGACCTTTCACGACGACTTCGGCGGCGATCTCATCCATTCCTCGTAGAAAACGAATACGCTGTTTACTAAGGCTTTCATCCCCGCCCAACAGTCCGCACCATACCGCATCCCGCATCTGCCCGCACTCACCGTGCCGTACCGCTCCGCACCGATCCGCACCGGCATTGTCATCCACAACGACATGTAATTTGGTCCGTGGCGATGAGGCAAGAATTGCATGACCCTAAAGCTCTGATAAGTCTACTGCTTACTGATGTGGGTTGGGGGAAAAACATCATCTCCACCATCACTCCAGCTGTCGCCAATCGGAGTGATGTCCTTATACCCAGGGACGAGGAATGCTCGGGCGAAGAGTCACAATCGGCTCTGTGAGAAAATATTCTGTTTTGACAGACCAGTTGGAAGCCCTCTGGTTGTAGAAATGCTTCGGATATCCGGATAGACACATAGACTCTCCTAGCCTCCGACATCCGCCAGCATGTCTCGTATCTACGAGGGTCGAATAACTTCCTTGTGATGACTGTGGGACTGTCTCTGGCTGCCAGCGCGTTTGAACGTGGCGCACATCACTCACATATATAATATAAAAGGTCTATCACCACATATATCAGTGCTGTGAGTTCCCGATAGGGTGCTGTGACGGAGAGACTCTCAAAGCTACGTGTTGTACAAGATTTTAATATTAGTTCTTCACGCGAGAAATATATTGATATAGACCATGACCAACCCTAAGATACTAGTCACTGGCGCGTCAGGCTACGTGTAAGTGAAACTTTTCAGATAATCTCAGGGGCACACACACTGACCTCACCAAGCGGAGGTACTGTTCTTTCACAATTCCTTAGCTCGTCTATTGCCGAAATCAAGAACGCGTCTTATTCCGTTCTTGTCCGAAAACAAGAACAAGCAGATCAATACGCGTCGCAGGGTATCACTGCCCACCTAGCAGGCTTAGAAGACCAAGCTGCCGTCCGACAGCTAGCAAGCCAATTTGACATCATCGTCCACGCCGCCGACTCGACAAACGTCGCTGCTGCTGAAGCACTGATTTATGGTCTTCGCGATGGTGCGCAAAAGAGTGCCAAAATCACGAAACCGTGTCTCATTCACTTGAGTGGCGTCTCTAGCCTAGGAGATCGACCTGTCTCGAAGCCATCTACTATCATCTCCCACGAATTCTCGGATAAGCGCGATGACATCTACAGCTATATGAAATGGAGGGAGAGTCTCAAGCCTTATACCCAACGCACGACAGACCTAGCGGTGATTGATGCTGGCGAGAAGGCCGACGTACAGACGTATGTAATCAAGGCACCCCGCATCTACGGTCGCGGCACAGGAATGTTTAATCGGAAATCCGTGCATATTCCAGTGCTTATAAGCGGCGCTATCGCGGCAGGGCGGCCGGAGTATATCGCAGATGGTGCTGGCGTCTGGGATGATGTACACATCCTGGATCTCGCCAACTTCTACGAACTGCTCCTTGGGAAAATCTTGAAGAACGAGTCTATCCCCACAGGGACCAAGCCATTCTTTTTCGTTCAATCCATTAGGCATTCATGGAAGGAGCTAGCTGAAGGGTTGGCCAAGGCCGGTGTGAAGAGCGGCGCATTGAAAGCGGAGGAAACGTGTTCAATCGGACTGTCGGAAGCGACTGAGAAGTATGGTAGTGGAGACACTGGTTTGACGGAAGTCGCATTTGCATCAAGGTAAGTAGATTAAGTGACTTTCCACATGTTAATCCCGAGGGTACTAACAATCGGCATTCAAAGCTCGGTTACCAAAGCTGATCTAGCTCTTGAAATGGGGTGGACTTCGCAGAAGACCGAAGCGGATTTTCAGCAAAGCCTCCTAGATGACTTCAAGGCAGCCACTTCGTGCTAATTAGGCTCATCTGATGGTGTTAACAATAATTCAGTATTTGAAAACATTCAAAATTGCAGGCCTTACTATATAAGACTACATAAGAAAAGCATTCTTAGATAGTGCGCTACTGCGGTCTTTATAAAATAAAGTATACTACAAGGCCATCATTGTATCTATCAAGTATGTTTTTCAAGTGAAGTGAGAGGCATAAACGTCCTGTTACCAACAGATATAATATCTACAACTCCAACCAGGTAACGCTTCTTGCTTCCCTTGCCAACAATACCAGCACGCTCTCCTCTATTCTCACGTAAACAATAATATAAAAACAACTCATTATGAACTTCATGTTTTCCTAATCTATATACAAAACCCACACCCCTCACGCCTTCATCCATACAACCATATCAAGCTAATTTCCTCTCGTCACTCACGCCTTAAGTCTCACCCCTTTCCTCTCCCTTCATCTCCACCATCACGAGAGTTCACTATCAAGATAGTTCACCACGATAGTCCAAATTACATCAACCACGCCACAGCTCACTTCACTCACTATCCACTTCATTTAAAACACTACCTACTACCTATGCATATAATAACCAAACCCTTCTATCCCTTTCCTTTCCAAGTCCAGTTAATTTTGTTGTTATCCGTCTGCAGAAGTCGGATCCATATACCACTTAACCAATGCTTTTATGACACTATAAACATGAATACCTAGGCATTCTTCAGAGTCATCATTCAAGTGGGTATGTTTCAATACCTGATGCTCTGATCATTTGGATCTTCACTATTCCCTCAATATACATCATTTCATCCTATCTCATGCCATCTCATGATAACCACATCAGCAGCTCCTCCCATAAATATAAATCACCGGTATACGTACTTCTTTCCGATGCGCGAGGGATAGCTTTTCGATACTGAATCCTGGCTGTTGCGTGGTTCGCCGGAACGTATAATTCCTATCAATTGCCCATCGTACGCCGCACGCGAGGATAGACTGAGCCTGGCAAGTATTTCATACCGTGAGGCGCAAAGTAGCTACCGACAATGTATGAGGGCCCCATGGATCACGGCGCCGCGAGACGTATCGGTGGGTCTGATTATGCTACAGCTGAGTTCCGAAGAGTTCAGGCGAATCACGAATAGCTCATTCCTATCGGGGTAGTTTGTATGCGACTCCTTTCGTAATTCAACTTCGTGATCCCCAAGGTGAGTCATGGGGGTGGCGTAGCAGTTCAGGCCACAAGAATTGAAGCGCTGGTAGGTGAAGATCTGTAGGAGTTGCCGGGAGACCACCTTCTCTCTTACTTGCTATAAGACTCGGTGTCAAGATAAGCTATCTGCGGGAACTAGTAAATGCTCCCCGAAGCAATGACTTTTCAATCTCTTAGATTATCTCATTCCGCAACCCATTTGTTGAAATCTTCAGAATATTTGAGTGACACGCATTGGTAAGCTTCAAATGTGGCATACAAGATGCTTCAATCCTATCATTATGATAATCTTGTATTCCGCCTTCGTGTGAAGAAGCCATACGACCTTCTGGTCTGTTGATGGTCGGCTTAGCCAGCGACAATTTGATGTCGTGTAATGTGACCTTATGAAGGGTATTTTTCGAAGAACAGAGTTATGCCCTTACCGTACTGGCCCCAAGGCATGTTGGGGTTAGGGTATATCAGTAGATAAGTCATCATTACACAGGCATCGATGGAAAGTCCATGGTCGACCACTCCTGTGAGAACCACGAAGCGGACTCCACACCTGTATTGCCGTAAGACTCGAGAGCAAAATCAAAGCCGTCCATAGCGCCTTCGAAAGCATTGTTGTTATCTAAGCCATCTGGAGGAACAACGGGCGGAAGATTTGGTCGAGCCATATTAGGATCGGTCACACTGAGATCTGAGAAGGATGTATCGCGGCGGTGCTGTAGCGGACCGGGAGTTGTAGCAGCGGACATTGGTGTTGGTATCGTACCATTACCTATATTCACACCAGGTGATGACAAGTTGGCAGAAGGCGAGGGAACTGGAACCATGGGCGTCTCCTCATCCAGGAGATGTATATGCTGATTGTGGCCGAGGACTTGACGTGACACTGGGGGCTGCGATACCGCAACAGCGCCCACAGCCTCATGGTGTTCTGGTGAGCCCGGGTCAGCACTTGACGTTAGACCACGTGAGATGAGTTTCTCCAGGTCAGCAACCTAATTGGGATTTTGAGTTAGTACACTTAGTCAATCGGAAGTTAAGCGCCAAAGCTTACAATTGCAGCTCCTGCAGAAACATGATTCATCGACCGGGCGATTTGTAAGCATGTATTGGCGTGCTCTACTACTTGATCGGCAGTCAATCTTAATTCACCCTTGTTCGTCTGATAGGCATAGTAAAGCATCCGAGCGCATTGGTAAGCGCAGACAGGAAGATCAAGATCGGTGACGGGCAGTCCACCGTCCAGAGCGAGGACAAATCTGAAAATCTCGACCATGGCAATCGCGTGCTCGAAACACTGGCGTGTGCAATAGGACACAAATTGAGGCTCGAGGCGATTGACACTCGATTTCGGAAGTGCCTCCTTCAGGCCACTCAGTACAATACGGTAGAGGTCACAGTGACACTGGCGCCACCAAACATGAATCATGATATATACACATAGACGTGGAGAGTACGCGCGTAATTGAAGGTTACTCTCGGAAAATTTGAATGATGCAGGTAAATGGTCGTTGAAGGTGTCCAACTCCTGGGAGAGGACTTTAATCACTTGCGGCAGCTGGGTAACTTCAGATTCCGGCATGTTCAAAACGTTCTTGGCGCAATATGACACTCTGCTCCTCATCCATAAGAGTCGTACATGTAGAGCCAAGGAGCCCACATCATCAGGGAAAGGCTGTGAAGGACGCGGTCTGAGGTGCCCGGTAACTTGTGGGAGATCAAATTCGAAATTGCGTTCATTACATGGTAGTTGAATATGCAAGGATTCAGGGGAGACTAGGGTAAAATCTGGTTGTCCGCCATTCACTCCCGAGTCGATGGTTAAAAATGCCCACATTAATCTGCGTCGCGATTCCCGGGCTAAGAAGCACAGGCTCGGGTTTTCATAGTTCAGTCGAAGCGCGTAAGCAAAACGCGCGGCTGTGGCAGATAGCATGAAGGCACTGGTAAACCTCCGTGAGAGTATGCGATGCTTCATTACGAGAACAAGGGCTTGTATTTTGATTGTGGAAGGATTTTCAAGGTCTTGTAAGACCATGCTCTGGCATTCATCAATGCATCTGGCGCCGTACTCCCGCATTCCGGGACCTAGATCAGTAAGTAACGAGGTAACACCCACGAGAGCCAGCAGAAGAGCTCTATCCATCATGCCAGCATGATAGCGTTGCATGAGTGACGCACGGTGAAGGAATGAAAATACGGGAACATGGTGCACATGACGGAAATAGTTACTGAAGGTGCGCTGGATCAGACCTTCGTCCGGATATATGAGTCTAATGTCGCCCATATTAGCCTTTGCGTATTACAGGAACAGCAGTAGCGGAAGACGTACGGGTCGTGACCGAGTCTCTTGGACAATTGGCCCCCAGTGATATCAAAATTCGGATGATCTGAGCTACCATTACGACCGTGATGCGAGCCATGATGGTCACGGTGTGTCATGGATCGTTTCTCTGGAGGCTCAGATCCGACAGATTCATGCTCTGAATCTGTGGTACCATGTTGGTTGCCGACAGCAGTGCTGCTGATACCAGCGGACCGCTTCGTCGGACGATAAATACACTCGATGCCCTGAGCATGACAGCGAGCACACTTGGGGGTCTCACCGGTGCATCTGGCCTTTCTCGAATGGCAATTGGTACAGGCCAGCCGTACACGTCGTCGCGGGAGACTCAAGGCGGTCACGCTGTCGCTGTCGGCGTGCGGTGAGCCTGCGTCCTGGAAGGAGCAGGTGAAGCCGAGTCGTTCACAGTTCTGGCAGATGTCCCGGCGGCCATCGCACCGCACCTTGCGCAGGCGGCAGGTCGAGCAGGTCTGGCTCGTCTTCTTGGGAGGTCTGTTGGCCGGGTCGGCGGCAGCAGCATCAGCGGCAACCTCGGCGGCCGTGTCCGCTGCCGCCACCTGAACACTCATGTGTTCCATATCCATGCCTGTGGCCGAGCCGGTGGTGTCTGGGGTCGGAACTCGCGAGGCTCGCTATTGTTAGCTTCCGCACTCGCGGGTTGATGCAATTCCGCCGGGCGATGGGGGTGTGGTAAACGGCATCGGTTCGGGTGGCGCTAGATCGACTCCAGGTTTTGTGAGGAAGCGTGTCACTGTGTGTCACTTGGTGCGATGGCGGATTGCGCAATCGCTCGCTCGATGGCGATCACTGGCATTTGGTTGTGGGACAAGCCACGGCAGGCGGTTATTGGGTCGTCTTTGTCGACAGGCTGGGTCGGTTCCTCGAGGGATGAGAGAGCGAGCGAGCGAGCGGGAGGGCGGGCGGACGGGAGTGCGCAAGAGGCAAGAGACAGAGAGACACAGACAGACACACAGACAGAGACAGAGACGAGGTCTGGACGGACGGGGTCTGGACGGGGACGGCGAACGAGACGTCTCGGCGAGAAATGTCGACGACACTAGCTCGGCCCTTCAGGCGAGAAGGGTGGGCTTCTTAGGAAGATGGAAGAAGACTCTGAACCACTCCTAACCCTTGTGTTGAAGGTCGTGGAGGTACCTGGTACATACTGGAGAATCTACAGCAAACCCAGACAGTGGCTGGACTGTTGGGCCTGGGGGTGGCTTCAGGGTGGAGCATCACTGAACATGTAAAGTATAGGTACGCGCCGGCCTCTTCGCCGATCGCGCTATCACAGGCGTCAGTGGCCTGGATGTCTGGTACAGGATACTTCGAGAGACACCTTGAGAGACATGCCTGGTTGCATCATGCAGCTAAATACAGACCCTGTATGTACCTGATACAGTGCTGCTATGTACATGTATGTATGTAGGTACTCACCCTCCACGGCATTACAGCCCTGGCTGGTATAAAACTTCTCCTCGTCCTACTTACATGCCCTTCCACCCGTGGAAGAACATCAAGCAAAAACACATACACACCGCAGGATCCGAATGCGCCGCAAGATTAAATTCGTCTGGTCAAGATAAGCGAGACAGCTCACTACTTACAAGCACGGACGAGCTACCGCAACCGGCAAAGAATGCCGGGCGCATCGGCACGCTGGGACAACAAGCCAACAACAAAAATGCACTCGTCCGGACATAGCCTTCGAAATACCTACCTGCCGAGCACCCAGATTGGCCCTGAGCGATTTCCAGGATGAAAGGGGGAAAAGGGGGCTGAAACATTATTCATTCATATATTTTGTATGAGCGGTGTAGAGGCCACCTCATCAAAACCTGCGAATTGTTGTCGAGCATGGTCGATGACCACATATAAGCTGGCTATCACGTCATGGGCGATGGATGACGGCTCTTGCGCATTCTGTTCCGAATATGTCGCCATGCGCAAATATGGGAATCTTGCATTGCTCGGCGAGCGCGGAAGGCCGCATTGTCCACTCACTCACTCGTACACCCATCTGCTTCCAAACTGACATCAGGCAATGATGATAGAGCCTGGATACACTACAAGGCATCCAGGTATGTGTACAAGAGAGGGGATTCGACGATACGCGCCCACACCTACCTCCTACCTAACACGAAAAAATATAAAGTTACTTTCCACGGCTCGATGCTGCGCTAGCTCGAGATGGACTGGACTGAGCAGGGCCTAGCTGCAAGTCAACCGGCTTGGCGTTCTTGGGTAAAGCATCATTAGCCGGCATAGCCGTCCGAGCCGTCCGAGATGACCGACAGCCGCCCTTATCGCTCACTCTGGCATCACCATTCCACCGACCGGTATCTCCTTTGCCTTATGGTGTGTTGTGTCTACGAAGAGATGGCATGTGCTCTGGGTTGGGCAAGGTAGGGGTGTTACAATTCTGCTGTTGCGATGCACCAGTAACGGTGTCATGACGAGCTGATTGGGTGGTGTGTGACGAATGGGAGAAAATGGTGCCGTTGAACATCGGGCTCAATGCGCTCAAATGCTAGCCAATGGCGAAGCCCACTAGATCATGTGGTTCGACCATCTTTTCCCAAGTGCTACTACGCTTACTAGACTGATTCTAGAAGTGTGGCTAACGGCAGGCAACTTGGCATGTGACTCTCAATCATCATCCATATTGGCCAATTGTGCACATATCCGAGTCTCGAAATTCTTACTGAATTCTGTAGGATTAAGCTCATGAGCTGCTTACTTCAGATGTCGAGTGTCAAACACAGGGGAGACAGCCAACTGATCCAAACAGACCCAACAGGCTCAACAGACTCCATCCCACGTGGATAGGTACCCAGCGCTAGATCCATCGACCAAACACTATTATCGTGACACTTAGACTAAGTAGACATAAGTAAGCACCTTAGCTAGCTTCAGGCCCGCATACATGCTATAGTACCCTACATTACATTATGTGCCCATGTAAGGGATATCAATGATTGGGATTCCTACTTATCTACCTACCTACCTCGCCTACTACGGTATAATCTGCTGTCAGTCCTGAAGACCGACGGTCATGATGCCGATGGAGATATTGTATCCACCTACCTAGCCCAATACAGGCAAATGGTCGGGTGACCGTTGCTTGTAAGTATGTAAGTACAGATACCAACACCAGATGCCCAAGATACCTACCGCGTCTTTCCTTGGCGGTTAACAGAGCGCTGCCTGCCGCTCCCCGTCTCTATTGATAGCCGGGGGATTCATTGGTGGCTAACAAACTCCTGTTCACCGCTTGCGATTGACGCGCTTCTATCACGGCTCTGCCAAGTCGCCGCTATGGCATTCGAAATTGTTGCTGTTCTCAGCCGCGTATCGCAGATCGATCGATCTATTTGCCGATGGAACTCCCGGCTAGAGGCAATGCTCATCTGCTAGAGTAGGTACTTCCATTGCACCGATTCATATCAAGGGCCGACATGGAGATCAGGAACATCTATCCCAGTAACATTATCGTTGCAAAACGGCACGCATCGTTGGATTGCAGATGTGATTGCCAACTCGCCAAGGTACAAAATGTAGTGTAGTGTAGTGTCTCTCTGTAACGAACACCTCATGATAGCAGCGTCATAACATGATATCGCTACGCCACACAATGCCAATCATCCATGTAACACGAATGATGAGTTGCGGAAGGCTGCTGAAATCGACCGACCACATGACAATCACACAGAAAGTAAGCGCTACAGCCGGTTTCACAAGAACTGATAGTTTCACAGCATAATGACATGACACACGCAGACGCAGTCTTGTTCAACAGGTACCCGAGACACACAGTTCTCTCAATAACCACCACACTACTCTCACTCATCTCACTCATCCATCACAACACCAGCACCATCTCACGCAGCCAATATCTCCCCCCTCATACAAACCTTCCCATCCTTCCTAACCAGAACCTCCCACTTATCATCCCCCATCCTCTCCGCGCCGATATCATACGTCTCGCCCGCATATATCGGCGCCAGCGCGCGATACTCAATCTCCTTCAGCACGCGGCCGTTCGGCTGACAATGATCGCGCCAGTAATCCAGCATGCAGATCAGATTCATCGGCCCATGGACGACACACCCGGCATGTCCTTCCACGGCCGTGCTCCACGCCGGGTCGTAGTGGATCTTGTGTCCGTTGAACGTCAGCGCCGAGAAGCGGAAGAGGCCTGTGGGAGACCAGCGGAGTTCGCGCTTGGGGTAGCCTATTTTCGTTGTTACCATTCTCATCTCGATGGTTGTATATAGAGTGCGTTTGTTGCGTTGTTCGGGGGTGCCTTGGAGAAATAAGAGTAGTAATACAGTGAAATATGTACTAACCTTCGACTTGTGGGATATCTTTCACGGTCGAAGGGCCACGGATAATAAAATCACCGATCGCCTTTGACGCCGCTGGCGACGCGACTGTGGCTTCCGGTCGGAAGATCCAGGACCTGAGTATTCATTAGTATATCTCCTCACTTCACCATTTTCACATCTCAATGGATAAGGAAAGTAAACAAGAAAACGATAGACAGTAAAAAAAAAAAAAAAAACTCACTGCTCATCAACAAGCACCACACCCCCCTCATTCTCAAACTCCTTCCTAACCTGAACAAGCACCATCTCCAGTCCATCCCTCCTAACCTTCGGCAACGCACTCAAAAGCGTCGTACTCTCCCTAACCTCCTGTCCCACCCTCAACCCCCCACCTCCTTCCCACCTCATCTTTCCCCCCGCCCACATCCGCCGCGTAAACGGGTACGGCGCATTATATCTCGCATCAGTCCCATCGGGTCCAAGGTCCTCTTCCACGCCCCCAGGCGTGAAATACACGAGGTGGTATCCGGGTGGTATGAGCGTGTTATCCGGGGGTGTGCGACGGGATACATCCAGGTCCGGATACAAGGCGCTTCGGTTCAGCGTGAGACTGAGTTTTTGCAATTGTGTCCCGTCGGGGATTTGTTCAGTCGTGCTTTTCACGCCTTGGAAGCGCGAGAGCAGTGATTGTGCTGCTTCGGCGGCTGAGATGGTGTGTTGGTGGCGGCGGGTGATTTTGGGAGGTGAGAGATGGTTGCGGAAATAGCGGGGGAGAGCGGATGGTATTGAGCGTGACATTAGAGTGGAATCTGAGGCGATTGGTGTTTCCTTGTTGAGATTCCAGTGAGCAATTGTATAAGAAAAGTATTATATGAATGATATAAGGGGTACATAAAGATAGTCGGCTAAGTGCTTGATATTTCGCATATAAGTTGAACGAACCTAACCTCGGATCGCCAACCCCACGATACCGTACTTAATTAAGCGTAGTACCTAGGTACCCCACCCCATTGAAGTATCCTACCACTACGACCCGGATATAAGCACATCGACGACCGGATATAACTCCGGTCTCTACAGTTTTAACCTTCGGCTATACTTTTCCTCTTGCATACCTACGAAGTACCCAACCTAACCTACTCGAACACACATGCCCTAGATAGTCTAATGCCTCATAGGTATCTTAAAGTAACAGTATATATGTACAAGTAAGTCAATCAGGTAAGCTACATATAATCACGAGAAGATTGGCCTGGCCGGATATCTCAACTTGGACTATAAGTTCTCTTGCCCATTCAACCACGCGATATCGGCTGTGCAGGTAACCTGCCAGACTGTACTGCGCAGTGTTCAGTGTTCATTAACCTCCCTAATCACTCTTATCCTTAAACTCTCTACACATAAACATGTCGCAGATAGTCCTAGTATTTTCATTTCCATTCATCTACCTAAAGCAACCTAGGCAGCGAAATACCTTGGCCGAGTTTAGTTTAATATGGCCTTCCAAATCTACTACCAACAGCGCAACGCAGTGTTCAAACCAAGGAACACATAACCATGCCCCCAGTCAGCAGATTGCAGGTTTAACTTCATCTTTCAGTCTCAACTCTACCACAGCACAACAATAACACACGAATCACACTCGCTATGCTATCTATCCATCAATCGCTGATGCACACATCCCCTTAACGTCTAATCACGTCCTTTCTTTACCCCTTGTTCACCACACCCCGCAAGATTCGCCAGAATTGAAAAAGCAAGTCCTAATTGCTCGGCGCTTCGGCAGGAGTCGAGGTAGGTGTATCCGCCGTGGACGCAGCGGCGGCAGCTTCAACAGCTGCCTTCTCCTTCTCCTTCTCGGCAGCTTTCTGCGCACTTTTTTCTTTCTTCTTTTTATCCTTGGCCGCTTTCTTGGCCGCGGCCTTCTCGGCTTCGGCTTCTTTCTGTTTCTTGAGCTCGTCGCCACCGAAGGCGTCGCGCCATTCCTAGATTGTGCATAATTAGTCCCGTCTTTACTCCGTTGTGATACAGTTGGAAATAGATGACTTACCTCGAGACGAGCTGCGGGAATTTGGGAGAATAGAAGGGTGGCTGCTCCGATCTTTTGCCCGGGCTCGAGCGTGTTCGCGGTCCAGACATCAGGGATCGAGAAGGGCGCATTCTCCAGACCGACCTGCTTTAGCATAGACCGTGCAGTCTCTGGCATATAAGGGGCTATTTGATGAGGTGGTCAGTAAAATTTCGAAGTCTTAAGATATATCATGCCCCCGTAGAAATTGGGAGAGGTAATGCAAGCACTCACTGAGCAGGCTCGCAAGAAGGTGAACATGGTTCAAAGCAAGACCAACAACCGCTGTGCACTTGTCATGATGCTCGGCGAGAGTTTGATTACTAAGTTTGTTGGCCTGTAGGAACTGGTTGCCAAGTGTTGATATGCTATGAGATGTGAGTAAGTATCAGTACTTCTTGCTTCCTAGCAGACGTACCCAAGAATGGTCTGTAATCCCTGGCGGAGCTTGATCGCCTCCATGGCAGACTATAAGAACACGTGTGAGTAGCTTCCTAGATATAGCAAGACATACAACTTTCGGGCCTTGTAATAGTGACTAGTCCGGGGTTTCCCCTAGAGATTAGAGGGTACAGGATACATACGATGTAGTTCTTCAGTTGGGCATTAACTTCGGCTTTATACTCCTCGAATGACGGCTCTGTGTACTTGCGGTAGTTGGGGATAGTGCTGTCTGAAGAGTTAGTGACTATTAACTTCAAAAGTACAGCTAGGTACTATAGGACGTACCCATCAAGTTTCGCGTGAGTGAATTTCACCACACGATTGACGAAATTTCCCAGATTTTTCAGCAAGTCATTGTTGTTGACATCAAGAAATTCACTATAAGTAGCGTCAGCCATGCCTTATTTTACCGATTCTCTAGAGCACGTACTCCCACTTAAATTCAGCGTCGCTCGTCTCAGGCCGCCTCGAGAGAAGGAAAAATCGCCAGATATCCGCATCGACTCCAGTGAGGCGTGCTGAGTTACCAAAGACACCGATATTTCTAGACTTGCTGAATTTGCCACCCTCGTAATTTAAGTACTCAGTTGTTGAGAACCGACCAACTTTGGTCCAGTTCTCTTTGGTTCCAAGTTGACTGGCGGGGAATATTATACTGTGGAAACTGTATAAAAGTGAGTTGGGTATACCTCCTGTTAGAACTTGATACCAGCACTTACGGAACATTGTCCTTGCCCATCTAATATCATCCAATTAGCGATCGCCAAGTTACACACAACACGTAGAGTGTACGATTATGACAATTATGAGAACCCCCAGAATTTCATGATGGAGAAGAGAAAGGGAAAATGAACAAAACTTACGAATTGGTAAAGGGTGACGTCTTCAGGGTTCTTCCACCTGCGGTGTTGTTAGATTTAGTGATGCGCAAGGGCCAGGGCCAACGCGCGATTGAACCTACCACTTTGTCCACAGCGTGCCTAATGCAGGTGTCAATATGTTGTTCCTAAAACACAATGTTCCTCGACTTACCCTCTAGGTTATTTCCATCCGTATAGTTTTTGGTGATACTGGGATACCCGACTAATAAAAATTAGGTAAGCGACCGTCAATGAAGAAATGTTGTCACATGTCACAGGCTGTATCGCAGGTTAGAAGGTAGGCCGCTGCTAATTGATCGCAGCCACTACCCCGATAATGTTCGATAATCCTTCCAAAATAAGTTCGATAGCGAGAAGTTTTGTTTTGACTTACTGCAAGCATCAAACCACACATAGAATACCTTGTCGCCTAAATCGCAGCCATGTCAGTTCTCAATCGAAAAGTGTCGTTCCATTTCGCTTGAGACACTCAGCGTAAACGGCGCGGAAAAGGTAAGGATTGCGCTCGCTCACGGTAGTCCTCTTCTGATAATCCCTCGCACTTTGGTACTATTTTAAGTCTTGGGGTTAGCAAACCGCTCTGCATATTCAGCGAGAAGTGCCGAATGTACGGGTCTCAGAAGATTACGGGCAAAACGTACTGGGCACGCCCCATTTCAGATCTCTAGTTATGCCACGAGCTTGTAACCCTCTCGAGATCCAGCTCTCTGTGATAGCCACACAGTTCGCGCTCCATTCTTTGTTCGCCGACCGAAACCAGGACACTACGTCGTCCTTTAGTGCATCTAAGCGGAGGAAGAGATGCTTCGTAGCTCGTGGCTCCGGGGTGGCTCCATCCAATTTGCAGCGAGGGTTGATCAACCATCCAGTGGGTTTCGATTCTTGTGCTTGGCCGACGACGTCATTCGCCTGGGCGGCAGGCTGAAGTGGATCGAGAAGGTTTCCGCAAGCATCACACTGGTCACCACGAGCATCTATGATTTCGTCAATATGTCACTTCGCGAATAGGTTCAGCGGAGGGTGGGTTGACCTAGATAATGGCAGATGCTGCACTCTCCTTCTACGAATCGATCGGCAAGAAACGACCTGTTTGAAGCCAAGAGTCAACAACCCTCCTTTCCGTGATTCTGATACAGTAATGATGTTCAATCGTACTCGTGCTTGGGGCAGTATGGTTGTATGGTTTCACGCTCCTCGATGAAGCCGTTGCTCCATAGTCTCTTGAAAATGTCCTGTACTATCTCGGTGTGTTGCGCTGTCGGTGTGCGACCGAATATGTCAAAATCGATTCGAAACCAGTCGTATATTTCTTTGTGAATGGCATGGTACTTGGCGCAGAGCTCTGCTGGTGTGACACCTTCGGACAGAGCTTTGGTCTCGGTTGCGGTACCGTACTGTCAAACGGCTGGGTTAGGATGCGTGATTCAACGGCGACAAGGACGGGGGCGGCGGCGGCAGTGTCGCAGGATATAAGATTTGTTCTTACCTCGTCACTACCGCAGATGTATAATGTCTTTAAGCCTCTTGCACGACAGTAGCGAGCAAAGCAATCGGCTGACTGGTGTTGTCGCAAAAGTTAGCGCACTAGTCGCAAGTTGCTAGTCACGATGGGGGGCTCTTTACAAGGACTGATCCGATAATGTTACCCAGATGGGGCGTATTGTTGACGTATGGCAGAGCCGAGGTAATGAGGATATTCCTCTTCCCCGACTCTGGAAGAATTGGGTGCGCTGTCGAAGCCATGGCGCGCGATGTTGTTCGGGTGGACGCGCAGAGAAATGATGATTCCTGGCTATTTTACACGTATGTGGTGATGTCGTCGCTCATGCAGTGTTGTTGTTCTTCGATGTCGGAATGGATATATGCGACCGATGAAATTTCGTCCGAACGATGACTTCTATTCTCTCTAGAAACAAAGACTGGACAGACCTGTATTCGCGACAAGTCACTTCGTGTGTATAAAATCAAGGGCGCGTGCTGTGGGATGTGGGATGTGGTTGAGGATGGAGGGGTTGATGGACCCAAGGGCGGGGCAGTAGGTTAGCGGGTTGCGCTGCTGCTTGGGACGCTGCAAGACGGGCCTGGGCTGACCTGGAATCCACTGACTCATACCTCCTTGGGGCCGTCTTTCGCACTGTCCTAAGTCGGACCCGATGCCCCTGAACAGAACTGAAACTCTGTGCCACATACAGTGCGATGCTGTCACTGCTTACTGTATCCCGGACTCACTTTCTACGAAGCATAAATGACGAAGGACAACGATGCCCTTCTCATTGGGATCTGGGTAGGTCTTCTATGAGCCTTTAATACACCCAGACAATGCCAATGAAAGACAATACGACATCGTTCTAGGTTTCTGATACCCGTGGCAGGTAGCTTGACTACAACCTAAAACTCGCAGCATATAGAATTGTACGCTCGGACGGAGAAAGAAAACTTCATTCAAATAGTTGAATACACAACATACATCAAATCATAAGTGAGACATCGCCAGAGTCATTCTGACATCGTAAGCGCAAGTGCTTACCTACATAACCATCCTCACCTTCCTCATCTCCAACAATACCCTGCAAACATCCCTACCTAGTCACCATTATACAAGTGCTTTCTTTAAAGCCGGGCTGAAAGTCTGACCTCGCCAGGGGCGTGGTAATCCGGAACTTTCATGTCAAGTGCCGCGCCCGAGTACCCGAGATCCTCGGCGACGAGCATCGCGCATTTCTCGCCGATGAGCAGAGCGGTTGAGTACCTGGAGACACGATACGTTAGAGATTGTAACGACTATGGCCGAGTTGAATCTTTTACTTACGTGTTGCAGCCGACGTTGTCCGGACAGATACTGAGGTCCGCAACCTTGAGGCCCTTGACACCGTGTACGTTGAGACGCTCGTCAACAACACCGTACTTGACGATGCTGTTACCCTCCCGGGGCGCCATCGAGCAGGTCTGCAGAGGTTAGCCTATTGCATGGAACCACGTTAAGGAAATGACTTACACCTAGACAATGCCATGTACTCTCGACGTGTCGTTTAACCCATTCTTCGACTGCCTTGATATCCTCGCTACTATATTTCAATTCCTCTCTGACGTTCGCCTTGTTGCTGTTGAGGATGTTGGCAGAGGCCGTCTTGTCTGCACTGGGGTTGAACACGCTCCAGCTACCGTGTTGAAGACCGGCGCTCAGGTTTCCGGGAAGTGCGTATTGCTTCGTCGTCTCCAGGTCCATGTCATTGGCGCGGGCCGGCGAGTCGTAGTTGAAGAATGGGTGCATGTTTTGCACTTCGCCCGCATAGGCATCCATGCGGCGAGCTGTCTCTCGAGACTTGATATAACCCCAGACCATTGGAGCCATGTCCCTCTCATCATTCATGAATCCGGTGTCGAAGTCGGGCGTTTCGTAGGGATCCGCCGACTTGATGTTGATGAAACCACGAGAGAACGGGTACTCCAAGAAGTGGAACATTGTGAAGAAATTTCCAGGTGGCCTGATTTAATTCAAGAACACGCGTTAGATCGTGACAATTCTAGGAGAGTAGCAGTATCGAATGCACTCACATAAGCATGTGGTCACCGAACCAACCAGCAATGACTGAGTAATGCATGACCGGCTTGTCGGGCTTGCCCTTGAAGTATGACTTCCACCCGTCGGTGAAATGAGGGGTTGGCCACTTGGCAATTTCCTTCAGCTCTTTCTCGGTCGGGCGTATCTTGACTCCAGCTTCAATTCCGTTAGTGGACAGTGGCCCTGTGCCCTTCAAGTCCCACTGGTCAAACACCTCTGGTGCCACGATTAGTATACAGAAGCACAGTAGCCAGGATAGTCTCACTCTTCTGCACCTCAGGTTCACCCCTGACAAAGTCATCAAAGCTCTCTGTTCCTGGCTTGGCGCGATAAACTGAGAAGGTAAGGTAATGATCCTGAAAGTTGAGGCCGACGCCAGGAAGGTCGACGATAGGCTCAACGCCCGCTTGCCTCAGCTTAAGAGGGTCACCTATAATGCCGTCAGAGTTGGTCCCTAATCAGGTGGTTGCTTATCGTACCGATGCCAGAACGCTGCAGAATCAATGGCGACGATAGAGTTCCTCCAGAGACAACAATCTGCTTGCGAGCTCTGAAGATCCTTGGCTTCAGCTCCCCTGGGTGAAGGGGCTTGGTAGGCCTTGCTTCGAAGTTAGGCACACTGCTCAAAATAATGGATTCGAACGGACTTACACAGTCTGGACTGCCACAGCGCGACCGTTCTCAATAATAACTTTGTCAACCTTGGTATTACATGCGAGATAGAGGTTACTGTGAACGGCTCGGGTGGAATGGATGTAGGCGTGAGCGCTGTCACTGCGACGGCCAGTCTGCAATCGACTTAGTAAACCTCCATGTACTAGGACATGGCAAGATTTCATACATCACGATTAATCCATTTCAACCAATGCTCGGCACCATGGCCTGTGCTTAAATCCTCCAGATCATCGACAAATGGTATGCCTTGGGACTCAGCAGCTCGCAGAAAGTCGTCTTTAATGGGATATGTGCTAGTTTAGTCAGCTCACATGTTTCAAGAAGGGTCTTCAAGTATATCGTACTAGTTTCCAAAGGATACCTTGATTGGTCCTTCAAATCCGTGAAGGTCCCTATTCAGGTCAGTAAGTGATTCAAACTTTAGAGCGATCATAAGCGCACCTGTTATGGCAAGCTCTTTGGTATGTCTCATGCTTCTTCATAAGAGGCAGCAGCTCCTTCGTCGTCCAGCCCTTAGCCTGGAAGTCGTCATAGTCGGAAGCTGAGGCACGAGTGTACATCTTGCTGAAGTCAGCTAACCCTCTTCGTCAAATAGACATCCCGCATTTACCAAAAAGTTAATCGAGGAACCTCCCCCCAAAATATGAGCGCAGGGTACAACAGCCTTTCTGCCAGCGAGCCATTTTGACGGACGAGATTCATAAAAAGATGCCGTCTTTGAGTCAATCTTCATATTCTTGGGGTAAATACCCGGGCGGAAGACCCATGGATTGTTAAGGTTGCTCTCTCCTGCTTCGATAAGAAGAACCTTGAGATTGTGGTCGAGATTTGCTAGTCTGTGATGATTAGTATATAGCTATAGTAGCTTATGAACATTGTGTATGGCATACCGGCCCGCAACGACACACCCACAACTCCCACCGCCGCAAACAATGATATCGAACTCCTCTGGTAGTGGACTCATATTGGCACCTGGGTTTCCCTGTGCTGATCTGCCTCAATTTCACACAATAGATCGAGAATTTTGTAGCGAAGATAACCCTATATATATTCCATCGAGGTCCGGCATCTTTGCAACAACATATACCCAGGCGAGCGGGGAAGATGGCCAATATGCAATAGTTCACACACCTCCTCCTATGCTTCCCGCGTGAAGCCGCCAATGAAAGCTTCATCCAGGTCCATGGTTATGATCAAGGCCAATTGGCAACGACACAAATCCTTCGAGCCCCTCTCAGGGCGTACAATGCCTGTCTAAACACAACATCATATGATGCTCAGATGTAACCCTTGAAGCATCCCCTCCTTTAGATAGCTTACTGTACGAAGTACATTGTTTGCACGATGTAGGATACCTAGACGATGATAGGCTTCCTAACTAGGGGTTTGTACTGACCGGGGAATCGTCAGAATATCATTGGCGGAGACTACCCTCTCAGAGAGTGATGAGAAGGGGATCCGTGTCGTATTAGACATTGAGCGGAGATATTAGCAAAAGTCCGCATGAAGTAAACCTGGGTTTCATTGAGAGTACCAGTTATCCGGGATATACTGGTAACTTGGGCCGCTGCATGGAGCGGCGTAGTCAGTGAGGGGAAGCAGCTCGGTGAGGCTCGGGATGTTGCCCAGCCCTAGCATGTCTCTTCCTTGTTGGCTCCCGGTTGATTGGTTCGCTGGTATTTTGCTACTTCTGGGAAGACGATGGCTCACAGGAGCATTCCACTAGGCTGTCATCATGCAAGTTGAGTATCCACCCCCAGGATCTTGTCGTTAGTGAAATGCGGGGGTGGAGACCAAAACGAGGCCAGACAAGAAACGTTGAAGATGACCTGCATATTTCGTTTCCCCGCAGGAGTTCGAAGTGTTGGCGACTAGGTACGTGAGCTGAACACTGTACAGTGAGCTTTTGTCTCGGGCAAAATCGTAGGACGTGAATTCGGTGGCCTACAAGTGAATGGAGGAATAACCCGATATACCGTTCTATTCAGGAGACAGATGACGGGTATGATAGTTTGTCAGGGTCACATCACATTCCGTACTCCAACTGGCAACAAGCCTTAGAAGGCATTGATGCGGGCCTAGGCGGGCAACTCTTCGAGCAATGGTAAGATTTCGCCAATGAGCAGCGTACAAATCTCGACGTGATGGTAGTGATATCGGCGCCTATGTGGCGCAGAAAGAGTTCGCATTGGTCAATTCCTCACAAAGCACAGTGCTTCCAGGAGATGGTGTGCAACCCCCAATTTGCCGGAGGAGCGCGCATATACTGACATGCCTCATACATATCGGCATAGCTCAATGACTTTCTGATTCGCCTAGCCCCGTGGTGCACATAAGCGAGGGGGTTGTTGGCCAACTGACGTAGATGTTATCGGGCCTGGTTGCGTTGCGCATCGAGCCTGATATGAAGCGCATGCTGCGCGGGTCAGCACCATCAAGCAGGCTCTCCGCGAGTCATATGTTTCCATTCTAGACTGGCGATCGCCTGGGCAGCTTGCCCGGGGCAGGCAAAGGAGTTGCTCTGCCAAGGTCGAGGCACTGTCGCCGCTGTTTCTGGCCGAGTTTTGCTCTGGGAAAGTTGATCCCGAATGCCGCCCATGATTGTGAGGGGAAATCTGCAGGTCGCCCCTTTGATCGTCATCTGGGCTTACAGTTTTCCGCTCCCTGGGTGATCCTCATTCCCGTAGGCATAAGCCAGCGGCATTCGTGAAGGTTGGTCGATGCCCGGTCGGCGAACACGAAGCCATGAGGAGAATTAAATACCTAGGTAGGTAGATGGTAGACGGTGAGGCTTGAGTACAATCACAGGGCGTAGTTGCACTAGAGTTGGGGCTTAGTTGAGCCTAGGAGTCCCCTAATTAGGTACCTACATCGGTGGTGGAAGACAGCCGCTGTGGCGCAAGCGCATGAGGGAAAAGAAACTCCAAGTTCCCATGGAGATACCTAGGGTTTATATTCTCTTCCCTGCCGCCATTTCCGTTCATCTGTTGCTCTCAACTCCTTTCCGTACAATAGACCGTGGACGGTCATGTTATTGAGGAGTCTCAGTTTGAAAGACTTCATCTACATCTCGACATGAAGAGCTAGTGGCGTCGCGGTCTTGGCTGTCGCGTAATGATTCAGACCAAACGGGTTCGGAATGGTAGCCCATTCGGCGTTTATACTTCGCCAAAAATAAGACATTGATGGCTATAAATCCCTGTGCCTAGAAAAGAAATCAAAACACTTGATGTGGATGGGCGCGAGTGAGAAGAATGAGGGCTTTGAAGCATTTCCCATCGCGGTGAACCAACGCATTTTCAGAGACATAACTCGATCTTAACAAAGCTGACAGTTTAGTTTGAGGATTGCTATATAACAATGCTATACTATTCAACAGCTTTAGGTAAGAAAGACTCAACGGTAATGTCAATAGCGGTTGATGTGTTATCCGTCCCTCTTCTTCATAGCTAACTTATAGCTCATCCAACACAATGTCCGATGATGCACAAAAACCACGACAAGTTTTGATCTGAGTGAGTTCATTCCCCCTCTAACTTCCGCATATCCATAAGAGAATATAGAATTAAAACACCGGGCTTGGTATCAAGTGGCAACGAATCCCGATTAATCATTCCGCCCAGATCCTGACTCATCAACGTCGTGTCGCCTGTAGCTGCCTTGGCATCCGATCACAAGAGCGATAGCCTACTTCGCCCATCAATCATGAGCATGAGTGACGAATTCAGATCTATCAATAATTGGTTATTGAGGTGGCGTGAAGCTTATCTGACTAGTCTAGGTCTTTCATCAACACCTCAAGCCCGAGTGGTGAAACGAAACACCGCAGTTGAACAGCGGACGCGCAATAAGCCCCGGGTCCGACCCGACGAGCCTATGAGGATCCGATCCGAACATCCGATCATGGTCTCGCCGCCAGCGTAGCCGTAGTAAACTTGCCCAGTCTAGTCCACAGAAAAATCTCTCTAATACTGAAATTCTTCGAGCATATAAAGGTGAAGACATTCCCAATGAGATTACCACGCAATGCGCAATCACGCAATTCGTTTACTAAGGGCCAGACTCGGGGTGCTGACCCGCCAAGTTGTCGCGACCGGCTTTAGTCCGCTCGTTACTCATGCTGATACGAGCCCTTATTTGTCACGAGAAATAATCCACTACACACACGCTTCCAAATCATTACTTAAGCAAGGGCCGTGTGTTATAGTGTAGCGAAATGAAAACATTCAGAGGAGAATGATATAAATGATGTAGGACTTTTCGATGATCTTATAGTCTACAACAACTGCCCAGACACACAGCCTGTTTATACACATCACAAGCTACGATACCGAAAGAAAGATGAGTTCTCTTGCTCAGGATGAAGTCAATGTTGACTTCCTGATTGTTGGCGCCGGCCCGGCTGGGGCCTCACTCGCCTGCTTTATGGCGCAGAATGGTACAGACTCGATAGCTGGATTTACGATGCTCAATCGCTAATAAGCACGACAGGTCTTAAAGGGCTGGTTATTGCACGAGCTAGAGGCACCGCTAATACACCAAGAGCTCATGTTTTTAACCCCTTTGCGCTTGGTACACTGGCCTCCTCAACAAATAGCAAAATTGGCGATGCTAATACTGATCAGAGACTCTCCGTGATATCGGCCTCGAGGAAGATGCCAAAGGCCATGCCACTCATGGCGAAGTGTTCCAGTCCTTCCGCTGGGTGCGGAGCATGGTCGGCGAAGAGTACGGCAAGGTGCAAGCTTGGGGCGCCCATCCAAAAAGCATGGTGGGATTCTTGCCGATACATCCGCGGATAAGATCGACGAAGCTGACCGATTGTAATAGGGGGACTTGGCTAGGGCTACTCCATGTCAGTTTCTGGATCTTCCCCAGTCGTATCTAGAACCAATCCTTGTTCGGTATGCCTCCAACAACGGATTTCAATTCCGCTTCTCGACACAGCTAGTCAGCATAGATGAGATCCCAGGGAGCACTGATTCTCGCTGCGTTCTCCGTGATCGCATTTCCCAACATGAGTACAAGGTCCGCGCGAAATACGTCTTCGGCGCAGATGGATCGCGCAGCAAGGTCGCTGAAACGCTTGGGCTCAAGTACTTCGTCGAGCCACGGGCTGGTGTAGCTTGTAACATCATCTTCAGGGCAGATATTGGCCATCTCATCCCAAAGGAACGCTACGCAGGACTTCACTCCATTATACAGCCCGACAATTTCCCTCGCATGGTTCCAATTCTACGATTGATCCGGCCGTGGAATCAATGGATTTTCGTCTGTAACTTCCCCGAAGAAGACGGCCGCTTCAAGGATCTCACACCGCAGAGTCCTGAGCTTATCGATCTTATACAGAAAGCGATCGGTGATGAGTCAGTGAAGGTCGAGATCGACAGGTTAGATCCGTGGACCGTCAACGAGAGCGTGGCGGAGAAATACTCTGTCGAGGGGAAAAACATTTTCATACTGGGTGATGCGGCTCACCGGCACCCACCTGCTCACGCGAATGGAAGCAACACCTGCGTTCAAGATGCGTATAACCTTGCTGTGAGTGCTCAAAGACATCCTGGACCAAGAACATGTAGTACTAACAGTGTATAGTGGAAAGTAGCCTATGTCGCTAAGGGCCTGGCCGGTCCAGAGCTGTTAGACTCATACAGCGTTGAACGACAACCCGCAGGCGCAACTCTTGTCCGAGAGGCAAACCAGCAACTCAAGGCTCACGCAGATGTATGGGAAGCCCTCGGTCAATTTACCACAACCGCCGAAGAGGGAGCCCGACGACTGGCGGAACTATATGAGCCTACACTCGCAGGTGATAAGCGCCGACAGATACTTCACGAAACCTTAGAAGAGAAGCGGCGCGAATGTGAGAACATCGGTCTAAGCATGAACCAATGGTACACTTCGTCTGCGGTCTATCTAGCCGACGAGACCGAAGCAAGACCCGCTCTAAAGGGCGATCCTGTGGTAGACATTCTAATAAGCACATATCCCGGCAATCGACTCCCGCATGCCTGGCTAGATATCGGAAAACGACAGAAACTGATATCGACACACGACTTAGCCGGCCACGGCGCCTTCACACTATTCATTGGACATAGGGGAGCCGCATGGCGGGAAGCGGCGGCTAAAATCGCAAAGGCGACCGGTATACCCATCAAGACATACGCTATTGGGCTCGGTCTTGACTATATCGACGTCTACCGCGACTGGTACAAGAGCAGAGAGGTAGAAGAAGACGGCTGCGTGCTCGTGCGTCCTGATAGATTCGTCGCATGGCGGTCGAAGACGATTGTTCCGAACTGCGAAGACAAGCTGCAACAAGTTTTGAACAGCGTGCTGTCAAGAGACGGTCTTCAGTCGTAATAGAGCACTATATTAGAAGTATAGATACACACACACAGCTAGATACCAATACCTATCTCTACTTATCGGCTATCGCTAATACAGGGATTTGCACTCCCAGCTTTCGGGGACGTTGGGGTCACCTGATATGTACTTCGCCTGCTTTGGGTAAACGCACAGGGGCCGTTGACTCTGCACACCCAACGCCGCATTATCCTTGACGAACTTCGTCGCAATCAAATGATCCGGCGCCTCTTCATGTTCAACCCATTTCATCATGGCTAAGATGATATCATGCTCGGCATCTTCATACCCGGGGACAGAGTGCGTGGCTCCTGTCAGAGACTGGCTGCCAGCGGCAAGGTACCACGGTCCGGTCATCGATCCCGAACAATGACCCATGTCAGGAATGAGGAAGAAGCGATAGAAGTCGTCGAGGTTGATACCCTTGGGCCTTAGGGTTTGCAAGACTTTCTTATAGAAATAGATACTGCTGCCAGTCGGGATGAGACTATCCGCTGCCCCATGATACTTCAGGATCTTGCCACCGCGCTTCATGAACGGCGACAGATCAAAGTCTCCCGCCGTCGCATTTCCGGGGTTAATGGCGTCTGCTACCTGAAGATCCTTGTAGGTGAACTTCGTGAAGTCATATTCTGTGTCGTTGAACACGAAATAGGTGAAAAGGTCCGAGCCGTATGTTGATACCTGACTCAGAAGAAAGCCTGGATCTGTTCCGAGGCTTACACCAGGAAATACGAATTCCTGGTTGGTATCAACCCAGTCGTTATAGAACTTGTATAGCGTCGTTAGCTGTGCTGGCGTGAGACACGCAGTTGAGTTCGCGCTCGTGCAGAGCAGTGCCTCAAAGTCGAAGGTGCAGCCGTAAGGGTCGCTAATGATGTTATCAACCAGGCCATCTTGCGGGTCACATTGCCTCTTCATTTCAGCAGTGATGGTTCTGAATAATGAAGGGTTAATGTGCGTTGGGGCAGACTCGGGATAATTATAGAGACCTTGCCACTGTAGCACTTGAAGTCAGCCGCCGCCACAATATCAAGTATGATCAGTTGGTCTCCAAGAGATTCAAGATTGCTCGCAGCCACTATTGATGAAAAGACAATCCTTTGATAAAGCGCTGGTTTTCAAGTCACGAAGAGCATGAACTCAATGGTGACTTACAAGAGTTGCGCCTGCAAGATGAGGAGTCCACCAAGCTGGTGCACCGACAGAGATACCGTCGAACGACTCTGGATGAAGCTGAATCTCTCTCAGTCCTTGCCTTCCGCCAGTAGAGCAGCTAGCATAGTAGGAGTAGCTAATGCCATCGTCTGCCGCGTAGTAATTCGTTATGATATGCTTAAGAGATGGTCAGTTTCTACATACAGTTTGTCCGACTGCATTGTGTGAGTACTAACTTTGGCTAAGACAACAGAGCCATGCATGGCACGATAGCCCCAATCTATGATACTCTCGGGCGCATTGAGCGCCCATGACCCGTCACCAGGATCAGACGAATGTCCTGTATCTGTTGACATTGTGGCAAATCCATACTGGAGAAATTGTTAGCCATCGGTTTGCTATACCAGGATATACACAGGAACTCATACGTGGGAGAATATGCCCATATCTGGCCTACCAATTCGCCAGTTCATTAGCAAGGATCAATGATTGGAAATCTCGAATGCCTTATATAAATCACGCACCAATTAATACCACCACCTAAGCCACCGTTGCCCGTTGCTAAGAACCTATTATTCCATGTCGAATCGGGAAGGAATAGGCCGAAGTTGTATGACGAGTTTGCAGACGATTTGACGTTGATACCCACGGCACAGAGCGCCGGTAAGCGCGTCGCATTGAAAGGAAAGGGGATATTAGAACTTCCCTGCCCGAAACTTCCGTTTTGCGGGACGGCTTGTGCGAAGTTGACAGTCACCTCCGGGTTGTCCACAAGGAACGCAGTGAACGTCTCCGGGGCACATTGGGCGCTAGCTAATGCTACGGAGGTGAGAAGTGCGAGAACAGTTACGCTTGAGCGAGCCATGACGTGTAGATTTGCGTGGGTACTTGGAAGTGCGATGAAGGGCCAGAAAGGGCCAACCCAAGAGGATAGGTGATTGTTGAGCTGCCATCTCGTGGAAACAGGATGATGCAGCCATTTATACGAATTTGTCAGTTCCTGATCACTAAGGAGCTTCCTTAATGAGGGCGAAAAGGTTGCATTGGTGAATTTCTCACGGAATGCTTAGGCGGCATTGGAGGTCTCCACGTACCGGGATGGCTGGTCCGCGGTGTTTTTGGGCCGGCCTATGTATTGGTCGCTATATCTTGGGGCACTGGAGTTCCCACATCTCTAGCCTAGCGTTCACCGAGTTCTGACCGAGTACGCGCGTGAACTATGCTGCTGAGCCTAGGTATATCATATCAGTTGATGATCTACTCTATCTGGGGTGGCGTCCCCAGTCATGTTTAGGGCTCCTCGCGAGGCGGTGGTAATAAATAGAGATTGAGAGGAAACAGAGATGTGATAGCACACCACTTTTGGATCATGCTGTTGAAGTCACATCAGTATTACGAGAAAACCCGATGGTTCAGCTAGTAGTCTGGAAAAAATCCATTCATAATCGATCAGACTCTTACTCATAATTTCCTCGTATTTCTTGGCATCCCGTTTTGATGTTACCCCGACCCCGGATTCAGGTAGTCTCCGGCTGAGGTAGTTCTGGAACGGGGATCTTCCCAGGGATACATGTCAATCCATATCGGCAATTATGCGCGGCTGCTTTGGTACACATAAACACAGAGACGTCGATTCACTCTTCTCGACGATCCTGTACTCTTTCAAGTGCGTCATATTGTTTAGCATAGTCTGTCGGCCTACTGATATAAGACACAATAGTAATTCAATGAGACAGAGTCAATTGACCAACTCCGCCCTTCGTGATGTCGGCATCGATGGCACCCGAATCTCGATACTACCCTAAGACTATGATGGTAACTAAGACTTTAATTGAAATCAATGTGTTTCTCTATGAGCGATGCGTTGATTGGCACTTGATCTCGATATGGTTCTCCCGCATTATGAGGCCAACCTGAAGTCCAACCTCTTATTTCCCTTGTCCTGGTGATCCGACAGGTACACTAGCCTTTCCTCTGGCGTCATGGAATCCCACTTTTGCGCCCTTAAGCGATTCCTCCAGACGTAGTAAAGCTTGGCGATTACATATAACACCACATTGAGGCTCAATATTCCCAGGAGGACGGTGTTGCCGCGGCGATATAGAGGCGCGTCGTCAGCGCGGTAGATGTTGGATGAGATTACTACGCCGGCTTGCAAGAACATGTTGTATAATGCCGCACCAATAGCCCGAGAGCGGACCGTATTAGCATTCCTCGATACCCAGCCGACTTGTACGGGGTGAGCTATAAAGTAGTTAGCCCCTAACCTTCATTCTTGCACCATTTGGGCATACCAAGCGGCGCCGCGAGAAGCAGCGAGATTATTGCCCATGTCAGCCATTTTGACGCATGCGTCGTATCGACTACACGCAAGTAAACCAGGAAGGGAAGACACCAGAATTGGAATATCACGGCGGATGCAGCAAGTTGACCAGTAACTTCTGCCAAAATGGAGAGCAGCATCATATTGATGACTATGAATAGGTTAATATTGCTCATTGCCACAGATGCTTGACATACTCTTCAACACTAGATATGGAATCGATAGCAGATTCGTTTCGAATGTAGTAAAGCCCAAGCCTTTCAGCGAGAGCGTTAGGTACTGCCCCGGCGAAAATGTTGGAATGTTGAAAGTGAGCCCGATAGCATAAAGAGGCCTTGATACAACTCGTTAGAAGTACTCGTCAACCATATCAGATGGGCTACGTTACCAGAGGTCAACATCTGTCAGACTCTGCCAAAGTAGTTTGAGCGTGATAGGCTGTCGGTTGTGCATTGATCCTTTGCTTGGATCATCTCGGATTATTCTGTTCACCATGATAGATTCCTCTCTACACACGGTAAGCCTATGTTGAGAAAGAGGCCAAAATTAAACTTACCGAGGTGTGAACCACCCTTTTTCACCTCGGGACCAACTTGCTGTTTGGGTTGGACCCGGAGGTAGCATCACAAATGATGCGATACCGATTGTACCAGTAATCAGGCCCTGAAAGCATCAACTGCTAAGTTGTGAAGCTGTCTGAAAAGCTACGTACCTCAATCAAGAATAGCCATCTCCAGCCGGCGTATCCCCTAACTCCTCTCAGGTGAAGCAGGCCGAAAGCAATTATGGACGCGAGAATATCAGCTATAAACATGCCAGTCCAAAAGAAACTCAGTCTGATCGTGAGTTCATGATGCTTGTAAAAGTATGACAAGTATAAAACACACTGTGACATTGTAGGTAAGCCTCTACCCAGTGCAATACTTGTAGTTTCTAATACATACTTCTGGGATAAACCCTCCCTGCAAGAGTGCTAGAAGGGAGCGGCAGGCTAAGAAGGAGGCCTTGCTATTAAGAGCGAATTGCGAAGCTGAAACAATCGAGAATAGGATGATCTGGACAGGAATATACCGATCCGGTCCGACCCATTTAGCTAGGAGCTGAGAGGGAAACTCGCCAGCAAGGAACGACAATGCATAAACCGAGTTACCCAGATTCAAATCTGCCCATCGTCAGTCACGGCAAATCTATGGAATCGGGGCGAAAGAAATACCATTTGTGGTAAACCCCAAGTCTGCGAGAAAGTCATCAGCCACTGCTTGGCTCAGATTTGCCCTATCTAATTCCATGGCAGTGAACATGACAGCGACCCAAAGCATAATGCGCCAATCTATTTTGCGGATTACTTTGTGTTCTTCGCCCCAAGTCCATCTCGCCGATGGGTCAAATCGATGTGCGTTCTCCCTGGAGAAGACGTTAATCTCATACAGCTTGAACTTGAGGTTCGCGAATAGCTAACCAATCTGGTCGGGGTAGGTATTGGTCCCTAATGTCGACATCGTCATATACACTGGGCTGTCGAATGAGATATGAGTGTTTTTTCCTCCAAATATTGACCCTTGACATACCTGTGTGGCGATCGCATTAGGGTTGTATTCCTTTCGTCGCTGGAACCAGAATTTCCTATTCTCTTGCGGTTCACCTAGGGGGGCGATTGAGAATTCATTCTCTTCCTTCTCAATCCCACCATCGATTTCGTTCTGGCGCAACTTCCCCTGAGCACCTTGGTCCGGGACTATGGTAGGCATGATATGAACCACTGCTGAGCATCGACTTGACGACTGGTAGTGTCGAAGCCACGCTAATGCCAGCTACTCATGAGTTTATATCAACAGATCTGTTTTCCTCTATAGGCCAACTGTCGCTTCTATTAATTTACCGGTGCCATGACTTACGGTACTCGTGCGGGGTTGTGTCCAACCAGCCGTCTCTCCTCCGGCTCATGGTTGGTCTCGATGTCACATTGCCTGCTTATCAGTTGCGAAACCACAATAATACTCACCATGGTGTATAGCTGCGGCATTCTAATGACAACGAATCATGTTCATTGAATGGTAGGTGTGCAATAACCACTCCTCTTGCCCCTCGCTTTTATCCCTTCCGCTGCTTCGTGAGGAAATAACCTTGCTTTGATACAGCCTATCAAAGAATCGGTGGTTGCAAGGTTGGAGTATATAGGATGGTGCTGCATATCACGTCATCAAACAGGCGTCGCACACCACCAGATGCACCCCGCATGTCTACTGTTTAAACTTAATAGAAATATGTTGGAGCTGGTGTGGTATTGAAGCTTCAGACAAATCTCGGCATCCATTCTAATCTTGGCTGTCTTGATCACACTTACACATGTAAGCACTTCCTGGATATTCATTCATCAAAGTACCAACACTAAATATTGCTAGCATTAGCGCCAGGAATATCTATAGGCCATTCGAACAAATTGAATGTCACGATGAAGTATCTCCTGATATCCACACTTTTGGCCTCACTTGTCTCCTTCACAGGGGCACAATGGCCTTACCCATATGGGCCGATCAATCAAGACCTATTGGCCAAGTCGGGACGAGACCGTCCGAATATAGTCTTCATTTTGACGGATGACCAAGATATTCACATGCAATCACTTGACTACATGCCATTTGTCAAGAAGCATCTACTTGATCGTGGCACTTTCTTCAAGAAACACTTCTGTACTACTGCTCTTTGCTGCCCTTCGAGAGTTTCATTGTGGACTGGTAGAGCAGCACATAATCACAATGTTACTGATGTACAAACACCGCATGGTATGTATTACAAATGAAATATCCTACCATTAGCTCATAATTGCTATAGGAGGCTACCCGAAATTCATCAGTCAGGGCTTGAACGACAAATATCTTCCTGTCTGGCTACAAGCTGCGGGATACAACACTTACTATACCGGTAAACTGTTCAATGCCCACTCAGTTCAAACATATAATTCGCCATTCGTTGCAGGATGGACAGCCTCTGTAAGAGTACTCATTGCAAGACAGTTATAGCTCTAACTAACCATCGTTAGGACTTCTTGCTTGACCCCTTTACGTACTGGTACATGAACAGCACGTATCAAAGGAATCAAGACCCACCAGTTAGCTATGAGGGTCAGCACACAGTTGACGTTCTAGCCAAAAAGGCACTTGATTTCCTCGACGAAGCACATAGCGCCGGGAAGCCGTTTTTCCTTGGTATCGCGCCCGTGGCACCACACTCAGATATCCAGTCTCCTCACTTCCCAGAAGGCGACGACGACGATATTTCCGAGGTTTACTTCGGGCCCCCGGTTCCAGCAGAGCGGTTCGCTCACCTTTTCCCAGACGTGAAGGTGCCTAGGACAGCAAACTTCAACCCGGATAAACCATCAGGAGGGAATTGGGTTCGAGCGTTACCCAAACAGAGTCCTGAGAACGTCGAATACAACGATCACTTCTACAGACAACGTCTAAGAGCGCTTCAAAGCATAGACGAGATCGTGGACAACGTCTTCAGTCGTTTGGAAGACTTCGGCATTCTAGAGAACACCTATATAGTCTACTCGACTGATAACGGCTACCACATCGGGCAACATCGTTTGAACCCGTCTAAACAGTGCAGTTTCGAGGAAGACATCAACATCCCGCTCATTATCAGGGGACCAGGAGTGCCGCAGAACTTTGAGACGGACATTGTAACAACCCATACAGACCTAGCTCCCACTCTACTGCAGCTCGCGGGTATTCCCCTGCGTGATGATTTTGATGGCCTAGCAATACCACTGAGCAAACCCGGTATTGATCAAGCCAAAGCGGAACGCCACGAGCACGTCACTGTCGAACATTGGGGTTTCGCGGCAAACGAGGCCCAGTTATTCGACTGGTATCCCCGTATTCGCTTGAACAATACCTACAAGGCGCTGCGTGTAATCGGCGACTCGTATAACCTGCATTACCACGTGTGGTGCACCAACGAGCATGAACTCCACGATCTCACTACCGATCCGGGGCAGATGAACAACCTGTTACATCCGGATGCGGGATCTGGAATCACATTACTTGGCCTGCCATTGGAGAAGGTCCGCCAGAGGCTTGATGCCCTTCTTTTCGTACTGAAGTCTTGTCGCGCAGAGAGTTGCATTCATCCTTGGCGAGAGCTTCATCCCGCTGGTAACGTGGAGACCCTAAAGGATGCGCTTTCGTCGCGGTTCGACGAATTCTATGCGACCGAGACCGAGAATATCAAGTTTGATAGATGCGAGATGGGATACTTAGTTGATGCCGAGGGACCGCAGTTTAAGCAAACGTCCCCTAAGGTAGGTGTGCGAGAAGACTGGCACATTTGGACGTAGGTGTGTTTATAGGGTGCAACTGCTGCTAAGAAGTAATAATCGGTATGGGATAATATCATTCGAGTTGGGGCTTTCTCTAATATCACCGTACGGAAAGCAACAATGTCATTAAGTATGAACTGGTTTAAATAATCATCAATCGCATGAAAGTTTCTGTCCGCTGAAGACCATCTCACTGAAGCTCGGTATTCGGCTCAAAGATACAGGGGCTGTCAGCGCTAAATGTCCAACTGAGCATGTCCACCCTTCGTTTTTTTGCTCATCATGAGACTCACACAGAAGAAGGGAAGGGGAGAAAAAAACAAAAAGAATCGCTCCGAAGATAAGCGCAACTACTATAACACGTTTCAGTACCTCATTGCAGCACCCCTCGAGAACCGAGACGAGGAGTTGTGGAGACACATCGGTAAACTACTTACATAGTATAGTACCTTAGCGGAGGCATGTTCCATTGGGCGATGTCGGCGAAACTGAGGACGCTTATGAGTTAACCTATAGAGCTTGGTTATACCTCGTACTATCATATGCGAGCTTGTATGATCTCGATTTTGAAAAATAATTCGAGTCGCTTCGAATTGCAATACCAGACTTTGCCATGCGGGAGCTTAAACGAAATCGTTCGTGAAAACCAATAGCGCTGTCGTGGACCCTATGCATGACATCCCGGTTACTAAGTTGCCCCTCATCTCAACCCAAACTCATCCTCTTCACCATAATTTTCATCTGCTATAACTTAATGCTTCCTTGAACATCAAAGATGGGAAACTTGCTAGTTCTCGGAGATTCTGATATACATGATATCCTCATAAATCTCTCAAGGGCCCAGATTCTCAACTTTAGTGATGCGCTCCTCCAATGTTTAAGATCCTACTCTGTTGGAGCTGAGCGACAGTATCAACCCGCCCCGGGTGTGATCAATCGCCCCGAAGGGCAGAAATGCCTCTTCCGACCGTTTACATCACCTGACAGCGTCGGGACCAAGATCGTTATTACACCCGCTCCAACATCGAAAGCCGCCGGCGCTCTGCGCGGCATAGTCACTATGTGCGATGCTGACGGCATACCATCCGGTATTCTCAACGCCGAGGAGGTCACTGGATATCGTACCGCGCTTATCGCATTGATACCCTATCTCTGGCGCAACTATACTGAAAACATCGTAATTTTTGGCGCTGGCAAGCAGGCTCTCTGGCACTTGCGTCTCGCCCTAGCGCTGCGGGGCGACGAGATCAGGTCCATCATTATCGTCAATCGGACTGTGTCGCGGGCGGAAGCATTACTCGCGAAAGTTAGAGAGGAAAATAGTACCCGGTGGAAATCTGCAGCAACGATGCAAGCTATTGATCCTTCGCGCTCCGACTATCAAGAATGCTTAAAGGGTCATCTCTCAGTTGCCGATGCGATCTTCTGTACCGTCGGTTCGACCGAGCCGTTATTCCCCGCGAGCTACGTATTAAATGACGGAAGAAAACGCCAGCCCTATGTCTCTGCTGTTGGTTCGTGGCAGCCGGATATGATTGAACTAGACCCGGAGCTCATCCACCAAACGGTAAAAGGAATCACATCAGGATCCAGGGCTGGTTCAGTCCTCGCTGACGACCGCAAATACGTCGTAGAGCACTCGGGAGAGTTTGCGCGGAGCAAGATAGGGGCTGAGCACGTTGTTGAAATCGGAGAGGTTGGAAATCTACAGAATAGTGAGACTAATAAGAAGCCTCTTGAGAATTGGATGAAAGATGGGCTACTAGTATACAAATCTGTTGGCGTTGGCCTGACTGACCTCGCTGCTAGTAATGCCATTATGGCCATTGCGAAGGAGCGCCAACTAGGCACTACCGTTTCACATTTCTAACGAAATTGAGTACTTAGAATGCGGTCTCTTGAGTCCATGCACTTGATAAAAGTCGTTTGTGATATGTTGTTAATTGAATCTAGATCAACATTCGACCCTTAACGTTAAGGCCTAGTTTACTTAGATACAGCATATACGCGTACAGCATCCTCATGGACACGCAATTGATAAATGTACAATATAACGACTATGTTCTACCATAGAATGCCTTCCCCCAAGGAAGCAACCAGCATGTCCTCCCGATTATCGGCAGCCCTCCCGAAGTTAGCCAACATCCAAACTGCACTCCATTACACCCTTCGTTCTAAATCATCTTTACATTTGACCGCATATCCCTCAAATCTTAATTAAGTTTGAGGATGAATGCAGTGAAATAACAATCGAAACCCGATGTAACTCTAAAAGAAATAAAAGGAATACAACATGAGTCCCCTCTTACAATCCCACCGGGTAATCATTGCTAGCCCTATGGTCGCACCCCCAGCGCTATGCCCAGTGTAGATAGCTCAGACTAGGGGCACGCGGGTGTTGAGCGACTAGCTAGCGGCCAATGATGGGAGCTCTATCTTGCGAGTATATTTGACAATCGTTCCTACATAAAATAGCCTGGATATTCCTCTTCTTTCATCTCGTCACGTCGATTGCTGAGTTTTCCTTTCTGCTCTATGCTGTGTACTGTGACGTGAAACAAGCGCGTAATTATAGCGAGTTTAGGCGGTCCAGGAAGCCTGTAACAATTTACGAAGCATGCTGCTAAAGAGGGCTGTTTATGAAAACGCCGGTACTTGAATTCCCACTCAAGTTAGCCCATGCCAGAAGTCACTTCCAATAATCTTCGTTGCATGTTACTGCTTCTTCACGACATAGAACAATGCTACTCTGTTGGACAAGGGGCTTGCCGGGGTATCTTGGTCGCGACGTTTAGAGGCACTAGAATAAATGCATAGCGTTAAACGGATGATCATAGCTACGTTTGAAGGGAATCCGTTTGTGTACTCCTAGTTTCCCATATCCTTCGAGGTTATGCGGAGAGTCATAATTAATAATTTCAACAACACAGTCCTCATCCACCGCCGGTTTTCTAACGATCCCAACTCCTGTTCGCGAGTTAGAACCAACAACTACTAACAAGGCTTCCACACATATTTCATTTCTAGCAGACCAACCACTCAGCGGTAGGACCCTCTATTAGATTGCTCAGTCCCCCATTTTCCCCAAAGTTCTGCTACATCATATAAAGACTGCTTTCTTTATCAAATACCTAACCTAGTTAGTATCCTAATGCGCCTACTTGTAATCTGTGCGGGATAGTTGGGTGACTGTTATTGTATGAACGTCACTCTTTATCGCTCCGTTACCGGTTCGCAGTGTTCGCTCTCAGTGTGGCGTGGGATTACCTGTGTCCCATGTAGCAGGATACTACTCCAGGTATTACAAATTCCTGTAGTGCTCGAATCATCCCACCTGTTTACCCCGCTTGCTTAATTGCATTGCTGGTACTGAATCATAGGCCAACAATTGAAGCCCAAGAGCGACCAACGACGATCTAACAAGATTCTTCAACCATAGCCTACGGTAAAGATGGACGAACACTCCAAGCTCCAGACGGAAGTATCAGATGTGGTAAACCTGCTGTCCCTCGTTCTAAATAGAGGCCCAGGCCAGGAAACCCCCGATAATGAGCTACAGGCTGGAGGCTCACGTTCACCGGAGGATCTTGTCCTTGGTATCGACGAGGCCGAATTCGAAACCCTACCTACTTCAATGGACCCAAAAGGGGAATATATAAAAAGAAAGACTTTAGATCGTTTGGCTGAGATGTTGGCCAGATTCAAGACAGCCAGAGGCTCTGGTCCTCGAAAGAATTCTGCAGCCAAACATGTTACCAGTACAGTAATGGTAGAAAACTCGACGGGAAAAGCTCTGACGATTTTTTGTGCAAAAAATGAAGGACTTGATAACGCAGACAACTGTTTTCTAGAAAGGTTGGAGACACTTCTCCGTCAGGTTGCAACGAGTGGTGAGAGTCTCATTCCATAATTTCCAAATAGAGAATCTAGGGTGACTGAAATTAGTGAACAGACGAAGAGATCGATCCAACGCAGCAGTTTGACCGGATATTCGAACTGATATATGAGCATCAGCAACCGCGCGTGTTGTATTATGCTGAAATAATTCGCAAGGAACTCCGATCAAAAGGTAATCAGCATGATACAGGATCTATACAGAAATTGACGGTCCACAATATACAAAGGTGCCCTCGAGCCGAGATGAACGACTGGAGGGACAATAATGGGCTCATATTCCGCTTCAATCGTGACTACGACCAAGAGAGGCCTAATTCTGATGAAGGTGTCGCCTGTCCATCAGAAGGAAACGAGGAAAACATGCCCGTGCAAGGAATATCTCATCAGATTATCCAAACTTTAAACAGCATGCCCGTTCAGCTACCATGGGACAGCATGAAACATCTATTGGAAAAAGTACATCGCATCATACTCAATCCTCGTCATCGACCTGTGCTAAAATTGTTCCTGAAACAAGCTGTACAAGGTGATGGCCGGTCGTTCGATAGAGCCTGGGATGCTTTGCTGTACTTAACTCGCATATACGATGCCACGGTGGCTTTTGCAAGTTTCGCAAACCTACAGGACATTCGGAACCTGAAGCTAGAGGCAATCCCGGTGCCCACAGCCTTTACACCCCAAAACATGAAAATGAGCCCAATCCAATCTCTGAAGTTCATAGGCCACAACTCTTTGAAACGGCCATGGCAAACCTTCTTTCAAGAAAAAGAGAAGGTGGAAGCGTTTAGTCGACAACAAAGACTGAAAAGGAACGTCCATGGAGAAGTGCAATTGATTCATTACGTTGAAAGTCTTATATATACCAATGGAAGAGATGCTCTCACAATCTTCCCCTACCTTGGATGCAGCAAAAAGTGTTGTTTTTTCTGCGAAGGTTTCAGGGCAGTACATGGAATCTTCCAGGCCCGTGGGACTCACCACACCGTATTTCCATTATGGGCTTTACCATCAACTATACCGCAGCCGTCACTTCACATCATACGTCAGTTTTCAGACCACCTGAAACAGTTCCTATCTTCACTACTTTTGTCGCCACGCTCACCTCCCAAGCAAGAGTTGTTGCGTCAATCATCAGCGGCTTTATCTACGGCACAAGCGATACAAAGAGACCCAGCAACATATTCTACTCGATCGCAGGAGTCAACGTACGTTTCCCTTTGAATTTGCATTCTGCTTTAATATTTCAAAGTAGCCATTCTGATTCAATGATTCAGGAAAATGATGGTGCCTTGGGCTGTCACAGCAACAGAACATAGCGTCGAATTCTACCCTCTGCCGGAGTCACCTGGACGTGCTCAAGTTATAGGTGGTAGTGGAACGGCGATCGCGATGCCTATTGAGGATGCCGAGCTCACGAAAATCAACCACGACAGGAAAGCATTCAAACTGGAACAAATCAATGAGATGCCACATGAAATCAAACATATTGGGCAGAGAAGCTGCCGTCGTTGCGGAAAATTGGCAACGTATAGATGTTCAGCATGTCGAACGAGTTATTGCTCTAAGGATTGTCAAAAACGAGACTGGAAAACTCATGTCTTCGTCTGCAGGGTTGCCAACAGACCCCACGACGTCGACATTCTCAGCCTAACGATCCGGAAAACCAAGCGGGATATGATATCTGGGAGTATTGAACGTACCTATAATGCAATACGTTATCTACTTGCTGATGACCGCCTCTGCACTACCTTTGGATTCAATAATTGCGCTACAGACCTGGAGTTGGCAGATCTTGTCTGCCTCTATAGCAATGTCCTAGCTAGAGCTCGACCATCGAATCAGGGCCTGCAACAAAAATTGAATGAGGGCGTCCTAGGAGAATTTCTGAAAAATTTCTGTCAATTAGAGCGACGGGTCGCTGAGATAACCGGAAAAGACGAATGTACTTGTGTGACATGGTTTTTAGAACGTCGCACATCAGAAGAAGCATTCCCGATACCTGGCATAGAAACAGAGCCATATGGAATCTGGGACACAGCAGTATCCTGTGCCATACAATCTCTCCAGTTGACCGAGAGGGTTGAGAACGGACCAATGTTCAACAAGTCGCAGTCTGACGTTTTCCGTTTGTATGTCGCAATCCCACCATACGTCCAGCGATTTCCTGATGTACGTTCTTCACTATGGACGAAATTTGGATTCTGCTATTGCAGAACATTTGAGCAGCGTCAAAGCCTAGCTACCAGCTACTGGAACTTATTAGCAGTTTCTACATTCGATGAAATTGTCGCTGCGTATCAGACAGCAACGTTGTTTGATCTCATGCAACGTCATGGAATCGGTACCCCACCAAGAGTGCAAGAAACTCGACCCATTGAGGATATGGATTCCGAAGATGGTATCTTCAGACTCATGATTGGCGTCGAGCACGCACTCTCAGGGAATTTTTGCAACTGTTTCCAATATGATCCCAGCTGGCGCTGTCGTAGCTACTTCGAGACACATCTCGATAGAGAAGCGGATGGGAATTTCGGATTCCATATGAGAAGCTCTTGGGAAAGATGGCAGTTGCTAAATTTCTATAAATATGTGTTTGCGCTCCCAGACTTTGATCCTGGGGAGATGGCCAAGGCAAGACAAGACGTTGATCCTAAGCGATTGGAAAAGTATCTCGATACTCTAGTTCCAGACGCGAAAACGAAGCTCATTGACAGATATCGATTCAATCCTTTTTTTCCGAGATTCGAAGGTAGGGTTAGTGTGGTGACGCAAGATAGGCAAAGAGTTCCTGGCTGGCATCGCGGGTGTGGCTGCAAGATACATGATGTTTTAGGGCCACCTGGGTTGTCCTACCGAGTGTATGACCCAGTTTAAGCCCTCTGCTGTCATTGAGCATCCCGTGCATCGTGCATGGTTGAATCTGGAGCGCGTCTAGAAAGAAATATGAACCAAGCTTCAATTTGATTTCAAGGAAACTCAAGTCAAGGAATCTTTAACTAGGATGTCAACTAGTTAGCAGTATAGGTCGCTTGGGGTTAATGCCCCTGACTCCATCTCGAATGTATTGTTGTTCCCAAGACTTGGTAGAATCACCTCCGCACCATACTAGCATTTCCTTGCTTGTTGATGATTCCAGATGGTGCATCTCTCTTCATGACTTTGGTGGGGGACGTGGGGGTGGTGATGGCTTGGCAACTCCTCATAACTTGACAAACGCCCACCGAATCGCTTCGCTGCAGCTTTCACCCCAATCAACTTGTCACCGCCATCCGCGATTCCCATTCTCTAGAAAGACGAATTGTCAAGTGCGTGTAAGTGGCATCCCCCCCCCCCCCCCTCAAACGGGCAGAGGCAGAATGATTCCCAGTCAATGAAGTGCTTGAATTTGGCTTGGAAGCCCTCCGCCGTCCCGTCCTGGATAGTTACCCGTGACTGCTTCGCGGAATCCAAGCTATCCATCATTACGCTCGACACAGTGCCAATGCCATCCACCAGTTGTTCCACTCACTAGCTTTTCAGTCAGGTGCCCTTCTTTCATTGTAATTCCTTTATCTGTGTCAAAGTCCCTGATCATGCATGTGTTTCCGAGCACGGTAACACTCCCGATGCCGCACTCGTTTGGAGTGGAAGCGGTGCACTATTGTCGCCCGTTGCATGTCTAGGAGTGTTCATGGTACTAGATGTACTGGGCATCGCTGTCTTGCCGGTACCTTCTTGTATTTTCTGATGCAGGCAGCCGTGTCTCCTCGCTTGGGGGTCTTGCGATATCCTCCCACGGTACAAAATCGATCAGTCATTTTCTGGTGTACCACAAGAATTTCAATACCGGTCCAAAAGTCTTGATTAGGGCCGGGGCTGAGGTATAAACAATGTGCAAACGGCACCCCGGGAGGGGATACCCCACACGACCGCAAACGAAAAGAGGAAAACAGAATATGAGAAAGCAAAACCGAGTAAACAGCTTAGAAAAATGGGAAGTTCACCGTGGCCCGTAAACAAAATTTTTAGGTTGACACAACACCACTTTCTCCATCAAACCCTTTTCATGATACGCAACGGAGGCCAACGTGATGATGGGTTCACTGACTCTTGCGCTAGCCGACGATGAGGACATTGCCCTTATTATCCAGCTTCTACAACAAGACAGTGAAGAGGCAGCCTCGGCCTCCATTGGCAAAGGGAAGCAGCCAGAGGGCACTATGACAGACATGCAGATGGCGTTCAGCCTCTTTATGGACGAACTTCAGAGTGCGGAAACATTCTTTGCTGACAGACGAATGACCAAAAGCATTCAAAGCGCCATTCAACTCGATGGTGATGCCCTTCTTCGATCACAGAATGAAGAGAGAGCCGCCGAGCATGACCGCAACTTATCAATCTCTCTCAGCAAAGGGGAGAGAGAGCCGCCAGCCCCAGAAAACGCTTTGCAGCTTTCGACTCAAGATGATATTGAACTGCTCGAGAAGATGGCATGTATCTATATCACCGGAATCGACGACATCGAGAGTGATAACGATACGATATCAATTAGTCAGCCAGAAAGCTCGGCCTGGGCTGCGTCACGCCAAACCGTACGAACACGGCAGAAGCGAGACTGTGACGCCTGCGGAGAACATAAGCACTTTGCTGAGCTGTCTAAAACTCCATGCCAGCACGAATATTGCCGACAATGCCTGACCCGGCTTTTCCGAGACGCGATGGTCGACGAGTCACTCTTCCCTCCACGATGTTGCAAGCAACCCATCCCCTTAGACAAGAGTCAGCTCTTTCTCGACGCCAACGTGGTCCTCCAATTCCGTCAAAAAGCTCTCGAGCTTGCCACGCCGAACCGAACATATTGCCACAATACGAGCTGCGGCGCTTTCATTCCGCGGGTTAATGATCCTGGCACAATAGCTACATGTCCCGATTGTCATAGGGAAACATGCACTATGTGCAAAGGAGCCTGGCACTCTGGGGATTGCCCCAATGACGAGCACCTTCAACAAGTTCTCCAGCTGGCCAGGGAGCAAGGCTGGCAACGGTGTCGGAACTGTTGGGGCATTGTTGAGTTGAATCAGGGTTGCTATCATATGACGTGAGTCTGAGGACAGCACGGGTTGAACGAAGCTTACCATCAAGTATAGGTGCCGCTGTAAATTCGAATTCTGCTATGTCTGCGGTGCCCCTTGGAAGTCATGCCAGTGCGACGACTGGAATGAGCACCGCCTCGTCGAGCGTGCCGCTGTGATTGAGGCTCGCGATCGAGTCGGCAATCGGGTTGGCGGACAGCAGGAGATGACCGGCATCGCTCATGAGCGAAACGTGGCGCAACGGATACAGAGAATCGCACGAGACTTGCGCTACAACCACGAGTGCAATCACCAGCGCTGGTTCGGTCGAGCAGGGCCACAAGAATGCGAAGAATGCCATGATCTAATGCCCATTTTCATCTATGAATGCCGACAGTGCCACATTATGGCCTGTCGCCGCTGTAGATACCACAGATTGTAAACTCAAAATTGCAAGCAAAGTGTGTTATGATTAGAAAAGATTGACCTCGACATCTTTAGTTTGATTGGGCCACTTGATTGAATTAGCTCGCATGTGTCCCGCTGCTGCCTGATTCAGATAGTAAGTAAGGGGGAACAAGAGTGCACGGATTGAATTGATAGGTGGGCGGGCGTACTGCTGGTTGTGATCAGATGATTTATGTGCTGAGGCTGGTCGGATACCACATCCTATCCGGTAAGGAGGTTGAGAGAGTTATAGTCACTAAGCAAAATCAGAGCCTAAGCTTCTATGCCAGGTATTGATACAGGTATTTCCGATGTCCGCTAAGTAGCACTATCGCTTACATACTAATGGATGTGCTGTTGCCTGTTCGTGATATCACATCTGCTGGGTCCGATGTAATGTTGATTCATTTCTGCGCCATAGTATAACATGACTTCGCCACTTACTTCCAGATCAGGTATGTAGGGTATGATTCCTTTGCGTAGTCTGATGAGGCAACTACAGCTTCTTACATCGAGCCATGCATGCAGTATGCACATTGCCAACTGTAATGCGATCACACTATCGTTGCGTATGGATCTGTGAAGCACCTATTTGATGCATAGTTCAACTCCTACAAGCTCCGTTGAGATACCACTGGCTCCTTGAAGGCATTGAGAATCGATGTAAATAACCCTTCCTGTGACAAGAACTCTTTGGAGGGCTTGGAACTTGGTCATAATTATTTGGCTGATAATTCAATAGGGGCCTCTAGGGCCTTGTTCTCCCCCCCATTCATGCCCCTTGGGTCTCATATAATCTAGGGCCTTCTTTTGCCTGTTGGACCTACTGCCGCACATACTGAGTCTGGGGAAGACGTGACTGAATTCATCAGGGTAAGGAAATTGTGAAAATGAGTACGAAGTCCGATAGCTAGTGGTCACGTTTGGTCGTCTAGCACCCCCTCCAATTGGTACTGGATAGAGGAATAGCATCGATGGCCCTGGAGGGTGAAAATAAGAAGTCTTGTTCACGTCAATGGTCGGTAACAGAGAGGGTTTGTGACTTGATAAAGCCTTATATCATCATACGCGTAGTAGTCTAGTAAGCTATAGACTAGCTTGTCTTCGCCCGCGCGTCTTCTAACCCTCATGACTGCGTCTGTCTCTGGCGCTTTCATTGTCATGAGATGCTTGAACTATATATTCCCGCTTGTATGTTGTAAATCGCAGTTCAACAAAATGTACGCCATGATTAGTTTTATTTCGTGCACAGCTATAAAGCGAAATGGACAGGGGTTTCTGCTCGTCCCAAATCCGAAGAACTGGTCGTCTGTGGTAGTTGCGGCAGTTGTTGTCGTAAATCGCTGACCCTCTACGCCGCTGCCGTGAGGCTCAAATCGGACACACCTGAAGGGCTTAAACTCTTGAGCATCGGTATAGAATGCTCTATCATGATGAATGCAATCTACAGGCAAAACTAGAACGGTGTGATGGGGAACGATAATACTGGTCTTCCCATGCTCTATTGAGACGCCCTCGGGATTAATTACCTCTTTTCGTAGATTGAATATGGTTCCTCTTCTCAGCATAGTCGTGGGGGTACTGACCGTTCTCGCCATCGCGACAGAGCTGAACGGTGCAACTCTCATCGACTCCCGGATAGCAGAGTCCAATAGCTTTAACTTTCGAATTGCAGAGATATTCCACTACCCGTTCGCCTCGTCCAAGGGGATTTTGCATTCATCTCCCAGGATCTCGATGTATCTCAGCGACCCATCTGAAGTAAAGAGCTATAGAAGGAGATGGTGTATCGTGAAGGTAATTCCACTTAAAGTAACATTGTTTATCATGAGCATCCGATCGGCGATAAGCCGCACTGGCAATTTAGTATCATCGTTGCTAGCGAGGGCTTGAGACTTACTCCACGTTTGAATTGTCCAACATCGAGCGAATGTTGAGAACGCCACGAGGGGAACCTTAGGTCGGCGCAAGAATGGCTCCGCCACTCTCCCATGAATACAAAAAGAGGTGAGCTAGCCAAATTTGCAGGCAGCTGTATGAAGTCTGACCCTGTGTACAACAAGGGTTAATTGGCCTCGGGTGAACCTCACCAGAAGCAGGCTATTAGGCATCCACTAGTCCTTAGGGCTCCTTTCCTACGTACCACGGCATCATAGTGCATTATTCGGAAGCCAAAACAGTGAGCTCAGTGAAGGCAAGATGCATTTACGAAACGCCAGTGTCCAATAATCAAACCATCGCCCACAATGCAAGCGCCCGCCACTCCACCAAACTCGAGCAGAGCAGTAGGGACTCAAGTGACGCTGGCACACGCATCCCGCCATTCTCGTCACAGCATCTATTCGTACCTGACCTAAACCAAGAGTGGTACCCTCCCACCCCATATCAGACGATCGTGACGCCGTAGTCTGGCTCCTTCTCCGCTCGTATCAGTGTGAATAATTAGTGTGACTCATCAGTGACCATAATTTACCAAACGAGATATAACATTGCTTCAACGTCGCGACCTACACAGACACGGACGCCTCTAGAATACGAGGCGAGGAAAGAACACGACGACGGAAGAAATCTCCACAGCTTATCACTTCTATACTCACTAATCGTAGATTATCAGGATCAGTATATGTTCGGACATTCTTGAGTTTTGACTATATTCAATTGACATACATCCAATCTTTAGCCAACCTAGTGACTCACTTATAGTCAGAAAAGTTGAATCATATCTGTTATAAACCGTTATTTTCCTGCGAGGCAGAGGGGAGGACAGGGGGAGCGGGAAGCAGGACGCAGAATGGGCTGCGACTTGTAATGTAACTGGATATTATCTTCGGTGTGCCACGATAATGATGTGTACACATTTGGGTTGCTGAAGTGTATATTGGGGCTGCGTTACAGTGTACTGCCCACTAGGGGGGGTAAAAACTAATGAAGCTCTGAGACATCTCCGGCTGGCTGCATTCAGGGGCCGGTTCATTAGCTGGCAATGTAGGATGCTATTCAGCCGTGAAAAGTCTGAAGGACATGGGGGCTGCTGAGGCGAGTAGTGAATTCTTGGCCAGCTAGCTACACTATAACCATCTTCTTCGTATCTTAAGGGGCAGGAATAGGGCTACTATATAATTACTCAATTTTATGCTCTCGAGTATAGCATTTGTTATGTCGATTTGCCACATACTTTCTTTACTATAGAACACCTTCTGAAGGGACAATTGATAACATAGAGCTAAAGCAGGCTGTAATGAATATGTATGCATGCGACACACCATATCATCTGTTGCTACACAGAGTCCCTTCGAAGTGCTACCTAAGCTTGGGGATTGCACTCCCTAGTTCGTTACCTTCTTTCCTGTTTTTCTCATCTTTTTAAGAACTAGTAAGGCCTTCAGAAGTTAATGCCATGAGTACGTCTGTTTAGTTTTCTCTACCTCATGTATACGATCAATAGACTAACTAATGGCGAGCTGGGTCTATTTCCTCGGGTCCTGTCGATCGATGCGCCCTAGGCTTCAACATCTCCAACCAACAGGACATCGATACAAGCAGTAATGACATACTATCGTGTCGAGACAACGGGGATGTAGCTGACTGGACATTCATTAACTCTCATTCTCCAAGTACCGATTTGGTCTTTCCCGAAGACATTTGGGTGAATAACATTACCATTTCAGATTTAGAACCCGGGAGGGCAATCAACTTGAGCGGTGCGACAGTTCAGACACTCTTTCTAACTGAGTACTATGAGGGCTCCTTAGCTCTTTCTATAGATACTGGAGCCCCTGGAGCCATACTCCCATTTGTGAGTAGTGTTGCGTGGCTAAATTCCCACGAAGACACTGATCATGGCTGGATACTGAGCGTATCGGGTAACGCAACACTTTACTGGAAGCAGATAAATGCTTCGAGCGTTCTATCTGACTTTGAGGTTATGGAGACCCTATACATGGAAAACGCCTGGGTGTCTCTTCCCAAATTGAAGAATATCACCACTTCCCTGGAGGTCGTAGCTTTCCAGATTCTAATACACAGATAACAGCCCATGACTTGGAATTTATCATTGGAAATGCAACTTTCACTGGGAGAATCGTCGCGGATTTGAAGAGTGGCTTTCATGTCGGAGGTAACCTCGTCATCCAACACGACGGCGAAGAGGCCGACTACTATTATCATGAGAAGGAATGGCATGCCGCCGCGGTTGGGGATAATCTCATTATATCCGCCAATTCCAACGCTGGATTTACAATGCCAAGTCTGACATCCGTCTCCAACCAATTATGGATCTATAATAACGCCAATTGCACTTTCGCATTCACCCAACTAACGAAGCTTGGATCCATCGTAATGGAGAATAACGTAAACAGCTCATTACCCGGTGATTTTCGAGCTTTGGAATATGCGAATTCAATCCATTTGAAAGGCCACATCGATACGTAAGACTTCTCTTCTAAATTTCCGAGCGCCTTAGTGTAAACTGAATTGACAGACTAGTTAGTTCCTCGTGGGGCAATATATTTCCTTCACTGAAGTTTGTAAGGGACTCCGTTACAATCGAAGCATGGAACGCGGATTTCAACTGTTCAAGACTTGTAGATCAGCAAAGACAGGGCGCCATCGGGCATCTACACTGTAATGGTACTGATAGCGGCAACACACCTTCACCTGGTGGAATCCCAAGCGGTACCTTATCTAGGGGGGCGTGGGCTGGCATTGGGGTTGGGGTCGCGGCTGTTGTTCTGGGGCTTGTCGGCCTTGTAGTGTGGGCGATGTTGCACTTCCGATCAAAAATTCGGAGTCTGGAGGAGAATAACAATGCGAGGGTCAACTCTAACGCTTTGCCACCAAAGGATGCGCAGTCGGATCGTCCAGAAGTCCGGCAAGTCAATTCTATCCCTGTTGAAATGGAGGCTCATCTCACGCCTGCCGAGATGGATGCTCCTAGGGTACCTGTCGAAGCTGGCGAGCCTACACTTCGAGTCGAGGCACCGTGAGCTGAACGGTAATATTTGGCAGCAGTATAGACGGTACGTTGATGGGCGATGTAAAGGTAGCCTAATCGTGTGAGCATTCCGCTGTCCTTGGATAGGGATCGTTATTGATGTAGGGAGGCATGTATCAGGGAGACAGCTCGCATAAGGGTGAACCGTCTGTAGATTCGACTTTCAGGAAGATACTGTAACATTAGATCAACTTGTGATGATTCACTTGATGCAGGAGAAATGGAGTGAGAGTGAGTTTTGCATGAGATTGTTTAATAATTAAAAATGGAATCCACTTCACATCATGGTCATTTAATTAGATGAACGCTTCCCTCACCTGCGTGCCGTTCTCTTCTATTTTTGAATCAGATGCAAATGCAATGTCACTCTACGCCATAAGTACGACAACATACAATGAGAAAATGCCACCGAGTTATACATGATAATCTTAATTATTTCTACCTTTATCACATATACCATAGTACACTTGAACAAGCCATCCTCACCTATCGCGCGATTTCCTCGCCGCAACAGAAGTCCCATCCCCGCTTCTCCTATGCATCCCCTCCCCATCCCCAGCGACACTCTGACCCTCCAACCGACCCTCTTCAAGCCCATACTCCACCAAAACCTCATCAACATCACCCCGCTTTTCAATCTCCTGCCACAGATTCCTATCCGTAGGGAAAAATACACGCTGGAGCGCCGTGGTACCCAGATTCGTCCCGAGCACGATCAGGATACCAATAATGGCAACGCTCCACCACGACAGCGTGTTGCCGAACTGGCGCGTGAAGGCATGGAAGATGTGGTACTCGGAGCCGCGTGAGTAGCGCTGCGGGACGGCGTCGATGATGAGACTGAAGAAGAACCAGAGCGAGATTGATAACGCGCAGGCTAATAGGGGGATCCACGTTTTGTTATGCATCTCGAAGATCCTGTGACACAGCGAATATTAGAAAGAGGATTTACTATTATACTAATTACATCTAATGGGGTGGTTGGGCACTTACAAGATCCTAACATTAATGAGGACGATGACAATGGTTAGGGCGAGGGAACTTATCGGGAAGAGCGAGTTGTCGTGAGACTGGTGGTTAGAGGGTGATCCGGTGAGGTTGAACTTGAACTCGAACAGCACGATCAGGAATATGACGACAGTATCGACCGTGCCCGTGACCAGCCACGCGATGCATTTCTTCAGATTGATGCCTTCGTCCCGTTGGCCGAAAGAGTACAGCTCAGGGACGGCGAGGAGGGTTTCCGGGGACAGGTCCTGCTCGCAGAGCCCGAGGAAGAATATGGGTAGAGACGTAAACGCGGCGTTGTAGGCTGTGAGACTCCAGGATTGATAGAGTGATGTGCCGCTGTAGCCTGTGAATCCTTGGTACTGGGCCTGGATGATGTAGAAGACCCATTCTTTCCAAAATGTGCAGAGGATGTATTTGCTCGTCCTCAGACTAAGTCAATGGTGTTAGCAGATGTATGTATGTGTTAGATAGGGGCTAGGGGTTGATATAGACTATGACGTGGGCGAAAAGGGGTAGGCAAGGGGTGCACTCACTATAACCAATGACCATGGACAAGCAAAAGTCGCTGAAGAAATCGGAACTGTGCAATAGCATAATCTGCAGCTCTGGCAGCCTGAAGGCCCTCACGACCTGATATACCAATACCTACATGGGCCGCCTGAATCATAGCGATATCATTCGCGCCGTCTCCAATCGCCAAGGTGACGCAGGATCTATTCGTCACCCGGATTCCTCTAACGAGCGTCGCTTTCTGGCTGGGGGAAGCGCGGCAGCATATGACAGAATCGATGAGGACAGCGAGGTCGAAGAACATGGCCTCCAAGGTTTTGTCCTTTTCCACGATACTAAGAGTGTGGCCATCAATAACAAGGACTGAATGCGAGATACCGCCTCGCTCCACATCGAGCAGATACCTCTGCATAGTCTGCTTCGGGTCGGCGGCAATCGCGTCCAGCATAAACATCTCAGAGTACGATTTAGCCAGATTCGCCGAGCGAGCGATGTTGATCGCCGTCTCGCGTTTGTCGCCGGTCAACATCCATATCTTGATGTTGGCTCGTCGCAGCTTGTCAATGGTCTCGGGGACCCCAACCTGGAGCTTGTCCTCGATAGCGCTAGCGCCAGCAAGTTCAAAATCTTTCTCGATGGCTTCTGCAGCTTCTTCAATGTTCTCCTGTCTATTAACAAGACTCGTTGTCGCTGCCTTGAAGGCGGTGTTCCACTCCTCGAACTCTTCGTCGCTAATGTACCTGTAGCCGTAGAGCAAGACTCGTAGACCTTCTGTAGCAAATTCGTCGATGTGCTTGAAACACCTTTCGAAGACCTTCGCTTCGTCGCTGGCAATGGACTCATCGATAACACCGTCATTGCTATCGTCACCTTCGTCATCGAAGTGGTCCATTGCTTCACTATATAGTGAGTGCGCTTCAGGTTCTTCTTGCCTGCTAGTCCTGCTTAGTCTTCTGAGGTCCTTCGAGGTTCGCGAAGTGCGCGACCGGAAGTAGCTTGGGCGTCGTCCGACGCTGTCTCGGGGCGAAGCAATGCTTTTTCGCCTCATAGCCTTTTCGGCCTCTATACTGTGGCGCTCGCGGGCCTTACGACTGACTTCACCCGCTGTTCTTGTAGCGAGCTCAGACAGTCTGAGACGATTCATGATAACATTGTCGGCGCCCTTGCAAATCACACAGATACGACCATCCGGCATACGTACGACGATGGTCATGCGTTTTCGGTTACTGCTAAACTCAATGACTTTCAGAACACTGTAGGTTTCAGTATTAGATTCTCCTGACTGCGTGGTAACTGTGAGCTTGATTGACTGCGAAGGGCGGTCAACTAGCAAATAGCCCATTTGCTGAGCAGCCAGTAAAAGGGCAACCTCGTCGGGAGAAGCAGCTTGAAATGTGATCTTGCCGTCTTCAGAGGTTTCGGGAAGGCAGGTGTGACACAAAGCAATACACAGTAGAAATTGTCGGGCTTGCTTTGAGAACGCTGTGTCTGGAAAACGGTAGATATAGTCTAGCATTGCTTCGGTTCTTGCACTTGCACCTGAAGCTAGGACTCCTACAGACTCGGATTTCGAGTTCTCCGCCTCAGAAATGGCGGTTTCAACGCTGGAAATATCCGTAATCTTCGGATCCTTTGAAATCTCATTCTGAGAAGCCTGATCTTTTGCACTCATGTCCATAGCATGCAGCCAGCTCGTTCCTCCCACCGCAAGCCTCCGAAGTTGCATCTTATTTTCGGTCAATGTCCCAGTCTTATCAGAGAAGATGTAATTAACCTGGCCTAAGTCTTCAAGGATGGTATTGGTGTTGATGGAGATGGGCGTGTCTGTTTCTGGATCATACATTTCGATATCGTTGAGGAAATAGGCTTGAAAAACCTTAACAAATTCGATAACGATATATAAGGACAGTGGAATAAGTCCGTTTATAAGAATAATTGTTCCGACGACGAGAGCAGCAGAATCTACGGATTCGAGTAAGTAATCAGTCTTCGACTCATATCGACGTTGCCAGAGGCGATAACCACCGCTAATTCCCGCTGTTATGGAGAGCAAAATAAACACAAGCCCAATCACAATACGATTGGTGAACCTGTTTATTTTCGGCGATTTTGCGCGAACATCCTGATTTGCATTCATACGAATCTTGCATTCTTCACCCGTATTGATGACGACGCCGATCGTCTCGGTAGTGTTTCGTATTGTAGAGCCCCGAAAGACTACCTCATTGATAGTTAAAGGCATAGTTTCACCCCCAATCGTGATACTGCCCTCAAAGTTGTAGAGGTCAGCGTTAGGATCTTCACATACAACCTCGCCTGTGAGATCCCCCAGTTTCGACATCGTGTCGCATCGACTTGCAACTAGTGGAGAAGGCTGCTTGCTTTTCAAGTTCGTCTCACCATCGAGTGCCATAGTATCGATATATGCGGTCGAATTGACGCCATTCGCATGAAGAAGGGCGATGTCGGCGGGTACCCTTTCATTCCTGCCTAGCCGGATGATGTCGCCTACTCTGATATCTCGCCACTTAATCTGCGCCCAGTATTTATCACTGCCAGTTTCCGACATTGGTACTTCCTCCGCTGCCTCTCCGTCCTGTACCGGCCGTTTCTCCCTCAGTCTCCCGCCAAAGCGTCCAGTAGTCTTCGCGGTAGATCCTTCGCCCAATGTCCGACCGGAGTCAAGCACCGATGCAAGCGCTAGGTTGTCTTCCCGGTCTAACAGATACCTTCGATAATCGTCCCAACCTTCTTTGGCCATGATTAATGCGACAAACGCAATCAAAGGGCCAAGGGTTGTAAAACTCCCAGTTGGACTCCAACCAGGAACTTGTTGAAGGATACCGATCACTAGGAAATAAAAGTTCGCAAGCCGTCCGAACTGGAAGACCAATTGCTTCGGTAGGAAGGAAATGAGTGTATATCGATTAGAGCGAATCGAGTTAGAGATGTAGTGCTTTCCGCTTCGCTCGTCTATCAGCGCCTCGTTTCGGACCGCGCCCGGATACAATGCTATATGTCTCCCATCTTTACTTGGGGGAAGAGGTTTCTGACGGAGAAGACCTTCGAGGATCCATTTCCGATAGAAATGGCCGCTGGCCTCGTCAAGTTTCCCCCGCCATATTCTTGCTCGTCTCAGGTTGCGGTCGACTTGAACGCGGGATGTGTCTAAGAGGTGACTGAAGGAGCCCTTGAGAGCTTGTCCAGCTCGACGGCTGCCGGTGCTGTGTCGAGAATCCCAAGAAGACCGGTGCTCCTTGCTTGGCGCATCACGGCGACTTTCAGAGGTCTCGTCTCCATGTCGAGCAGGTATGTGCACCATCGCGGCATCGGCTAAAGTATCCTCGCGAGCACTCATTAATTAGGGCCTAAGTTCCCCTCTCAGGGATTGAAGTCACTGTCGAAGTGATAATGCTTGTTATTAGGAGATGCAATCGGTCGCTTTCCCAGGAACCTGCGTGATGAGTTTTAATGATATATCTCCCACGACCGTCGAAGGCCAGGATGTTTGGTCATTTGTTCATCCGACGCGCAACAACGCGCGAGGACAAGACAAATTGATTAAGGAGTATCTAGTTTAGGTATCAAAGGGGAGTAATTATAACTAAGTTACTAAACGAGGCCTATGAACAAGAGTAGGCGGCGATACACTCGAAATGTAGTAGTAATTCATGATGCGGCACAGGGTGTAGCATCAACTTCGTCATTGAGGATTTGGGGGCATTGGCGGGGGCCAGGATGGCTTAGCACAGCCCAGAACGCCAAGGCGTGACCTGCCCTAATACCCGACATTTCTCAGCGATGCCCAGACGCTGCCGAGACAAAGAGCGGATAGTGCCAAAGAGCAATGGCTGGAATGACGAGTCTTGGCCAGGCGCCTATCTAGAGTAGGTAGTCGATACTGAGCTTCGAGAGAAACACGCGTACACATACCCAAATACATCGTAGGTTAGGTTAGGTAATTACCTACTCAAGGATCGCCACGTATGACCAGTGCCTTCTGTGATGGCATATCGGCGGCATTTATGACTTTTACGACGCGACACGCTAGATCTGGATCATGGTACCTACCTACTTTGAATACCTCTCTACTCGCCTAATCAGATATATCAAATAAATCAAATATCAGGCAGACGAACTCCAACAAAGATAAACAAGATGTCTGTGCTCAGACTTCTCAACCGAATGTTCCGGCCGGTCATGTCGGGATTCAACAAGATGTTACGGTAACCCCTGCTAAAATAGACGAGACCGAGCCCGAGCGATGACATCAATATCCACAGCGCCCCATCCAACCTTTTGCCTTTTGGGGTACCAAGCATTGGCAACGAATTGCGTCATTCCTCGACCGCGACAGGCACACCAATGAGTACATAGGTAGGTGGGTAGGTACTGTAGATTCATGAGTATGTAGGTATTTGCCCATCATCGACTTTATTACGTGTAATTAACTGGGTAAGACATTGAACTAACTATGAGAAATTCAATTACACTTAGGCCTTCCACTCTCACAGCCAAATATTCTGCAGCCAGCGCGGGGTAAGCGGGCGCTTCCGTCGCGTTGCCAACTCAATCTTGTCTGGGGTATGGTAAGTACGCAACCAAACGGCCAGGATGATAACTTAAGATCGAACTTCTCAGCTTTATTCTAAAGCCATTCCTCCGTACGGGTGAATCATCTTTCAAGCTCGATTGCCTAAACGGAGCTTGGAACCTCCAAAGCGGATTCTGGACAGAGCACTGCCCTGCCATTGTGCGCCCTTACCGGTTAGTAGCAAATGAAGAGCGTAGGAGCCCGTGACGTGCCCGTAATACAGCCGCTTCTGACTGTATCAACAGGCCATGTAAGTAATACCTACCGAGGCGGTGCAAGAAAAAAGTGAGAGACTCAACACCTCTGTGTTCAGGGTAGAGTCCCTCACTTTTTTCTTTCATCCCATTCAACATCTAATCTTATACGTTGTTAAAAATGGGTTCAATCCCGCAACCAGACTTCAAGCTTTCCGATGTCGAAGTCTCCGACGCACAGGACATTGGGCGGTATGTTGAGGTGCCCGCCATGCAAAATGGACCTTTATACCGGACGATGTTCCCTCAGTTCAACACAGCCACAGAAGCCCAAATGGAGGAAATAACTCGCTAGTATATCGAGATGATAGAGGATGCCTTCCAAGCTCGATAAGAAAGATTCTTAAAGGCATATACCGTTGATGGGACTCCAGTCGGTTTTTACGGTTGGGAGGTGATAGAGCAGAACTATGGCCCGCAATAAGCAAGTGAGTCGAGAAAGAGAGAAAAAGCACCAAAAAGCTCCTGGCTACCGGACACACTTAATGTAAATGCCTAGATTGCTTTATCGAAGGATCTGAGAGTTGAACGCTTTCGGTTTCTAAAGGATCTCGATGGTATATGCCGTAAGCCCAATTATGCTATCCTATTACGTAGGTAAGTTGTGGTCGCAGATTTCAATCAGGCTATTTTGGACCCCAACCTCCGTATAATTGCTTGCTAATGGTTTTTATACCTAGGACTGACGTTTATGGCGGTAAATCCGAAGTATCAACGATAAGGGATAGGTTCGATGATGATGCAGCGTATTGGTGAAGAAACTGACCGGAATGGCCGATGTGCATATGTGCTCGCAGCACCGGAGGGTTTTCCACTCTATTCAAAGTTTAGTTTAAAGGTCGTAGGCCATGTTGAGACTAATTATGGTATAATTACAAGCATGTTTCGGCCATCTCGACGTGCCTGTTAATTCGGGTTGACTGGAGTTGTCGCATGGCACTAGTTAGAATCTAACCCAATATAGTCGTGATGTGAGGAGGACAGAAGGGACAGAATCTCGTTTAGCAGCGCTCTTAAGCAGATTATAAGGGCGCCACACTTTGAAAGCCTGCAAAAGAGATACTATCTAGATATATGGTTTATTAACGATAGCTGAGAGTGGCAAGATTGGCATCAGAATAGAGAGTAGGGCCAAGCTATCAAACAGGGATTAAACACCCTTTAACATCCATGCTTATCCTGCAGGTAACCCTGCAACTCCGCATACCATTTAGACATATGACACGCTACCCTCTCTACGCTGTGAGACTATCCCGGTACACCTAAAACAATGGAAACGCTCATTGAAAAGTTGTCGCGGCCTTCTGAGCGGCGCAACAAACCGGACTTCTTGGGGTCCAAGGAGCTGGACGATAGCGTGACGGCTCGTTCAGCTTCTTCCATCTCCATTGGACAGTCCGATGACCCCGCATCCGGTGCTGACCACGATGAGCTGTTTGGTTTATTCCAGCTCTGGCCATTAAAGAGCGAAGGCTTCGACGTGGATGATACACAAGTCGAGTAAGAAGCCCCCCATAGAGCGCTTGTATTATATCATGGATCGCGCTGCTCTGTTTTAACCTGTATTATAGCATCGTCGCCGTCCATGGGTTGAATGGCAAGGCCTACAAGACTTGGACCGACAATGGCAAGCTTTGGCTTGCGGATTTCCTCCCTTTGGATATCCCGAGAGCCCGGATATTTACCTATGGTTACAACTCAGCTGTCGCCTTCACCAGTTCATCTTCTAGTGTGGATGATTATGCTAGAACCCTGCTTGAGAGGTTGATGGCCAAGAGGCGCCAGTTCTCACATGTGAACAAGAGGCCCCTCTTGTTCATATGTCATAGCTTGGGAGGAGTGGTTGTGAAGAGAGCGCTTGTCATCGCGCACGAAAGAAGTCGCCGGTACAGCTCCATTACCCAGGACACTTTCGGAATCATGTTCCTTGGCACACCACATCGTGGCTCAGACACGGCTTTCTGGGGGAAGCTCTTTGGGAGTCTTGCCAATGTTCTGACACTTGGGTCAATTCGCACCCAGCTATTAGATGATCTGAAGCGCAAGTCCGACATTCTCGGGGCAACATGCTCCCAGTTTGTAGAACGCTCTCAGTCGGTTCACCGAATATTCTCGATTTACGAACGCGTTCGTATCAAAGGCCTTAACAGCCTCGTCGTCGAAGAAGATTCGGCGATTATGGGACTTCCTAACGAGATTCCCATCCCTATAGAGGCCGATCATAGGTCGATGTGTAGATTCTCAAGCATGAAAAGCGAGAACTACCAGATGATTGCTGATTGCGTAAGGGAAATGGTCGACGATGCATTGGATCATACCCGGACGGAGACCCCTCTTCGTGATGATTTTATGCGATGCATCAAAACTTTAGATCCGGACGAGATTCTAAGGAACATCACCAAGCCCAGTCCGGGGACCTGCTCGTGGATTATTGAAAGTAGCACCTTCAAGCAATGGAGGGACCACCCTGACGCTCGGTTTCTTTGGATATCTGGCATTCCGGGGGTTGGGAAGACGACAGCCTCGAGGTTTCTTATCGAACATCTCCGACGCTGGCTGCAGAGGAACCCTCCGATTCCAGACAAGGAGTCTATAGTTGCTTTTTTCTTTTGCGCATCGAAACAGTGGCCGCGAAACTCCGAAGCACAACTCGCCAAATCACTACTATACCAACTCCTCTCTCATAGTACATCCTTCTTCCGTTACTTAAGTGATGCAGATCTGAAGTCCTATATCTCAAGCGTTCGGGACTCCTCAGGGAATGGGGACGTATCAGGTGAACTAGAAACAGCCTGGAAATTCCTAGTCACTATTCTGCAGCGTAGCCCTGCATTCACCTTCTGGATCTTGATCGATGCCATCGACGAGCTCCCAGATCGATCAAGGAGTAATCTTCTTCGCAAGATCCAGTCATTGGCTTCACACGACCTTGGACAAAAACTAAAATTCATCATCTGCGATAGAAGCGGCCCTTTCGGACGGGGGATCTCGGGGAGTGTTTCCTGGCTTGAAATTCACCGACAGGACAAGCTCGCTGACGACGTGCGGCATTTCATCAACACCCAGTTAGAGGATGTTTGCTCCCGCGGTGTTATTCCCTGGCAATATCATAATCTTATCGAAGAAGCTCTGGTAGAGATCTCTGAGGGCAACTTCCTCCAGGCTTCCCTCGCTTGGAACCACTTCAAGGGAGGTGTCACTTATTGGTCCCCGCAAGTCATCGCAACCCGACTTGAAGGCCTTCGACGGCTGTCTGGTGAGGCGAAGGAATTTTACTGTTCTCTTCTCGAACGAATCCCTGAGGACTCACACGAGGTTGCCAAGGCTGGGTTTACCTGGGTCCTTGGATCTCGGAAACCACTTACGCTAACTGAGCTTCAGCATGCTGTTGCTATCAGCACTGGCCAAACGTCGTGGTCGGACCTCAAGAACTCCCTGGGGTTCAATTTCGATACGCGCTTCGACCAAGCCTTTGGCTATCTCCTTCGCGTAGATCCTGACTTATGTGTCAGGTTTGCGCACACCACGGTCAAAGAACTCTTGACTTCTCAAGATAACATGGCAGTGGCCAACGATTCCGGTATCCTGTCCAAATTCCTTGTTCGGGAAGCGGACATAGACGCCGAGTTAGCCAAGAGGTGCATTATCGTCCTTAGTTTCCGCGACTTCGTTAAGCTTCGGGACATCGCCAGGGAGGCCATGGCGGACAGAATGAAGGACATGTTTGTCACTGCGCTTCAAACCGAGGAAGCGCTGCAGTCCCTGAACTTTGTCAAGTACGATGATCCCGAATCCGCACATAGTGAGGATCAACAGACTTCTGAGCGCATTGAACAAGCTATCCTAAAATTGGGCCAAAACGAGTTAGATGAGCGTACACGAAGCTTGTTTGCTTACTGCGTCTCCTATTGGAACTACCATTGCAACCATGGATCTTCGGACCCGGAGGTGGCCAAATCTCTCACGAATTTCGCGCTCCTTCGCCAGTCGCATTACTTCCTTATGGTCGCTATGCTCTTGGGCATGGCTAAATATCATCACGGGCCATTTTGGGGAAACGTTGACCAATTCTCTCGGTTACCTCCTCTACACTTCGTGTTGAGGACGGGAGATCACCCAAACGTCTTGGAGAACTTGATTAAGAGTGGCCAAAATATCAACGGGGTAGATTGTCATGGCTGGACACCATTGGTCTGGGCGCTTCTTGAGAACCGGACAGAGTCACTCGAACTACTCCTGGCTCACGAAGAGACAACCCTCGGAGCACGCGACTTAGACAACGACCATACCCTGCATATCGCCCTGGAGGCAGATGTTCCGCCAGCTCTCGTTCTACGCCTGCTCGCCGATCCTCGAGTAGAGGTCAACGCGCGCAGCAGTTGCTCTTGGACAGCTTTGCAATGGTGCTTGTCCAGGGAACACCTACAGCCTGTAACCAACGAACTCCTTTCTCGGAAAGATGTTGACATCTACGACACAAATGAACAAGGCCTTAATGCAATCGAACAGATCTTTAACGAAGGCTTGTCACAGGAAATTGCCCTTGGTATCATTGCTCGATCCGATGTGCCACAAAATTGGTTCGAGAAGCCACTGAAGCTCTCGGAGTGGTCTTCATTGACTGATCCCCTGTTTGGCGAAGATTCAATGGGAACGTTTCTTTACAGAGCTGCGTCACTTCGATGGGATTTGGTGGAAGACGTGATCCTTGAGCGTGCTCCGTCGAAGGCAGTTGCGGCTGACCAGAATGGTATGAATCTCCTGGAGCGCTATGCATACCACGGCATGAAGCAGAGGCTTCTGCGGGTTCTAGGGAAACTCCCGAGCTATACGTTAAGCATGGCCGGAGATGGGGGTGCAAGGCTTGTAACATTTTGTGCGCAGCAAGACTGGGAGGACGTAACCAATCTCCTGGTTCACAGATTTTCAGCCGAAGACTCCAGGAAAGATGCTGATGGCAAGACCATTATTCACTTGGCTTGCGAGTTTCACTGGATGTCACTTCCATCCTTTTTGGGTGCCAAGTCTGAAGACTGGTTGAACACGGCCAGCCATGATGGTAGAACAGCACTCCATGTTGCAGCGGAGTATAGAAACGAGGCAGCATGCACAGCTTTGCTCCAGGCCGGTGCGAACAGTCATATTCGAGACAAGAACGGCAAATTTCCCATTCATCTTGCTGCGGAGCAAGGACACCGCGCGATAGTCAGTCTATTTCTAAAAAGCTCAATGGGCCACTTTGGCGCATTTGAAATCGATAACGAAGGACGAAGCATTCTACACTACCTTGTGATGTGGCACTCTGATTCCTTTATTCGCCAGTGTCTCCCGAGCCTCCAACCTCGCGTCGATATCCGGGACAATAAGGGAAGATCCCCGATGCATTTCGCTTGCATTTTTGGCAATAACCATGCGCTTTCAGTTCTCCTGGACATCGGTGCGAATCCCAACTTGAGAGACGGCTCGTCTCTCACACCGTTGCACTGTGCGCTCATGGCAGGATCGGCCGCATGCGTACAGACTCTGATCGAGCGTGGTGCTCGACACGACCTTGTTGACAAATTCAACAGAAACGTGGTTCTGTTAGCCGTCTTAAGCGAGGATAATCATACCGTCGAATATGCTCTGAGGCTTCTCAAGCCCAAGCTGACCAGCAGCGAGGTAAGACGCTACGCCAGTCACGTTGACAAGTTCGGACGCTCGGCTCTTCACTACCTCTGCCATTGGGTAGACCGTCCGAAACTTGTAGACGATGACACAGGTGATATAGTCTTAGAGGAGCTCGACGAGGAATGGGTAGATGAGTCGAGCAGAATCCACGTGCCATCTCCCGTTGAATGGCTGATAAAGACCTTTGCAACCCTTGGGGCCGATGTGAACGGCTGTGATATTCGTGGCTACACCCCGCTT